TTGTCCCGCGTAATACTTTTTGAGCATTCTAAAAGCTCTAGCTGTGAGCTTGATGTTGTCCGGTATATGGAATTTGGCTCTCCTAGAGGTATATCCTCAACAAGTGCTCAGGAGCCATAAGGCTCTCAGGGAAGTTGGACGCAGGATTGAAGGTCAGTTCCACCTCCTATCAGCTGGGTGACCTTGGGCCAGTCAACCAAACTGCAGCTACTTTTCCTCTTCTGTAAAGTAAGGGTGATGCGACATGCCCTGTGATAAATGAATAAATGACCAGATGAATGGATGCCTGCTCAGCACCTGGTTAAGGGTGTGAGACACCCTTTGTTAATACTCACACCACCTTAAGAGGTTAGTTGTAGCATTTTCATCCCATTTCACAGAGAAGGTTACCGAGGCCCAGCTGGGTCAGGGACTTGTCGCAAAGTTGCGACTCAGAACCCAGCCCTTCTGATCCTGGTTCTCATCACCTGACTCTCCAGTCCAGCTTGCCCCAGCTTGATGGGGGAGCAGCACAGAGCAAAATATTTATAAATAGGTAAAGAATGCGTGTGAAATGGCTTTGCAAATGGAAAACATACACAAATTTAAAAGGCTATTTTGTGTCCCAGGATCCTGAGATAACATTTTTCATGAGTCTTATTCAAAGAGTTTGGTTGTTATTTTATATAAGTTAAAAGTTGTTGTATTTGGAAGAAGGAAAAGAATATAAGAGGACCTTGGAATATGATGAATATGCATGTTATTTTTGCAGTGAGCTTGTTTTTCATTCAGATCCCTACCAAGCAGCTTTCATCTTTTTCTCCTTTTGTCACATGGAAGTCTTTAATTGTACCTGTTCCGTGCAGAAAAATAAGAATTAGCAGCAAACTCCAAAAAGGGAAATGGGTAAATATTGTCATTGTCTACCTACATCTACATCACAAATACTGAGTATTATGGCTCATTCTGCTCAGTAGTCAAAAATAATCATGCAGTACTTCATAAACAGTAGACTATTATTTAAATAATAAAGAAGGACCTTGACCTTGAAAATGGGATAGAGGGCGCCTGGGTGGCTCAGTTGGTTAAGCGACTGCCTTCGGCTCAGGTCATGATCCTGGAGTCCCGGGATCGAGTCCCACATCGGGCTCCCTGCTCAGCGGGGGGTCTGCTTCTCCCTCTGACCCTCCCCCCTCTCATGTACTCTCTCTCTCTCTCATTCTCATTCTCTCAAAATAAATAATAAAATCTTAAAAAAAAAAAGAAAATGGGACAGAAAGGGAGAAAAACCATTTCCCCCAGACTGCACCTGTAATTTCAGCCACTTGAAAGGGGTTCTGTGGGGCTTCCTGGCGGGTGGAGCTTCACATTGATGCCTGATGAGGAAGACTGGCTAGATAAGGAACAGCCCTGGGCTGTCTGTCACTCAGTTGTGACTTGAGATAGGCATTTATTTGCTAGGGTAGCAGAAGTCAGGTGAGTCCATAAAATCGCTCTGTCCAGAGAGGTTTCTGTTTCTGGTAGCTTGTTCCAGAGCACCGTGGGCGAATGCTGATGTAAGAGCATATGAAGGCTGGGGCGCCTGGGTGGCTTAGTCGGTTGGGCGTCTGCCTTCGGCTCAGGTCGTGATCCCAGGGTCCTGGGATCAGTCCCGCATCAGGCTCCCTGCTCCACGGGAAGCCTGCTTCTCCCCCTCCCACTCCCCCTGCTTGTGTTCGCTCTCTCGCTTGTGTCTCTCTCGGTCAAGTAAATAAATCTTTAAAAAAAAAAAGCGTATGAAGGCTGTGCCGTTTGTGACACAGGTACACCCGAGAAGGAGCTAAGTCCACCAGCGCAACCAAGTGAATGACGTAATTATGGCCTCACCAAGTTCCAGCCACACTGGCCTCTTCTCTCCTCCTGCAGCAAGCCAAACAGGAGGTCTATACACTTGCTGGTTCCTCTGCCCAGGCGCTGTTCCCCCAGCTCACGTGGCATCACCATCTTTATTTCTTCTGTGGCACTTGTCATGCCATGAGATTAGCTTATTGATGTGTTTGTCTATTGCCTGTGCGCCTCACTGGCCAGCGAGCCTTTTGGGGCACGGAACACGCCAATCTCACGCCCCCATAGCACCCCACTGTTGAGCACATGACAGGCACCTTCGAACGCTCGCCAGATGAATGGATCCTGTCAAGTAAAGTGGATGTCAATGAAACTTTTTTAAAGTTACTGAATAATTTTGCAAAAACCTGCATATTTGGTCAAATATAAAATGAAATGTTAAATAAAATATGGCCGTATAGTATGTAAAAATAAGTTGAATTTCACAGTACTCAAAGGTAGGATACAGCTTAGGTGGTTGAGGACACTTTAGAATTCAGGGTCTTTCAAAAACTCAGTTGCTCTATCTACCTACAATGATAGTCTTGTCTCGGTTGAAACTGGTTGTCATGTTAGCAAAATATTAAATTTATCACTAGAGCAAAGAGATGAACGAACAGAAAGATTTCCAATTCCAGAGACATGACAAATACCTTAATTAAAAAATATCCATTTATTTAAATATACCTCTTAAACCATCTAAAAAGTGACACTATAAAGCCCCTGGGGTCCATTTTGTATCTTGTAGGAAATAGCATCCTTGCTGAAAACCCCTGTAATAAAATCACTGATCTGTTGTGAGGTTGGTCTAGAAGAGTGTAGATCATTCTTTTCAGGAGCATGAACCTTGTATGTGATCTTTATTTTCATATGCACTCTTCGCTTGGGTCTTCACCTTTTTTGGTTATAGTCACAGGCAGCTGCTCTTAGGGGAGAGGAGGATGGGGGATGTCTGTGGTCCCCCTTTGTTGTTACTCGTTTGTTTTTACCTCGTGGTTTTAATTCATCTGAAGCCTTAAGCTTCAGGAAAGATAAAAGGAAGTAGGACTTTGTAAGCAGAGCGAGGGATCACGCGCTGTGCTGATGCTTGAGGAGCCTGTGGAAATATACAGGATTTATAGGTGTGGGGCATTGATGTCATATAGCCAGAAAAAAAGAAGGAGTTCAGCATTCCCCCCCCCCCCAAAAGTCCCTTTGGAGCTCCTTGGCTTGGAGCTCTGTAGCTTTTCAGAAGTGACCTCTGGACTAATAATTGGCTTTTTAGCCTCAAACAGCCTTTTTATCTCCAGAGAATGTGGATTGAGTCTAATTCAGTTCACTAGTTAATTGGTTGAAATAATGCATTGTGATTCCTGCCAGAAGGAGCCAGACCCTGCCTGCAGGCAGCTTTAGAAGAGCATCCTGAAAAGGCCTGTGACTTCATGTAAATTTATCCTTTGTTGCAAGTTTCCTATGTTTTCCTGTGGTCTTTCTTTAACTTCAAATTGGTTGCAGCGTCCTCAGCAATTCCCCAGGGCATCTGTCAAAGTTTTCTGCACAGGGAGTCTTAATACTTTGTGTAACCGATTGATCATTTCCCCTCTCTGCCCCTCCCCTCTCCCCTATGCCCCCCCCCCCCCCACCGTTTCTCCTTCTCTTTGACACACCCCACAGTATGTTCGGCCTCCCCTCACAGTGTTCCGCAGTGGCCTTGGCCATCTGCGTGGACCCACACAGATGATCCTGCCAGTCTGTGAATCTGGACTAGCTTTCCTAATGAGGGCATTATTTGCTTTTTAGCCTGCCCCCTTGTTTATAAAATATGCCAAGAGAACTAAACAACCCGCTGTTCCCAGTACTTACTTACTTGCCCAAACCAAATGTTTATGTCCTTGAATACTAAATTTGAAGAAAAAGGATTCCTCCTCGTGGGAAAGCTTAGGATGATTGTTGAAGGGTCTTTCTACACTGCAGCTGAAGGCCTGTCTTTCAGTAAACATGCAACTTATCAGTGACTTCAGGAACTATTCAGACTCACTGTTCAGACTCATCAGCTGTAGGGAGAGGGAGAAGGGGGGGGTGCTGTTCTAGGATTCTCTCTGTTGCCTTCCTGGCCCCTTCCTGAACAGCCCCTTCCCTGTGACCCTATTGGATCAAAGCACCCTCTCCAAGAGCACTCTCCTCAACCGCATCCCCAAACACTTACCCTGTTGGGAAATGCAACTCCCTTCCCCCCATACCTCCCAGCCAGGTGGCAGCATTCTGAGCTTGGCTTGTTCTAAAACCATAATTGAAATATAACGTAGGACCTGAGAAAGAAGACAAAAAAGCAGTTTGCAGTAACAATGTCCCTTGCACCTTTTGCCCTGGCCTATGGCTTGTCCCACTGTGGTCGGCCTGCTGGAAAGCCGGTTGGTACTGGGGCAGGGGTTCTGGCCCCAGCAGCAGGTTCAGAATCACGTGGGGGAGCTTCTGGAACACAGGCTGCCTGTCACGGGCAGCTCAGAACCTGGCACCTTTGTTTCCAGGATGCTGACCAGGTGAGTCTGTTGGAGCTAGGACCCAGAGACCGGCCGTCTGGGCCATTGGCTGATACATTTGCTTCCTTTCAAGTACATCTGATGTGAATCACATTATTTATCTTCTCCTGGCAAGTTTTGTGCTAAACACACATTTGCCACCTTTCCTTGTTTCTTTTTCAATGGGGAGAAACGTTTCCTTGTTACCTTTGCTAGATTATTTAGGAGAAGAGTGTAAATCGAAGCCATTTATCTTGAACTGGGCTGCAGGGGCATATTGTTTACACAAGTGAAAGAAATTGTAACAGGGGTATTTGGTCTGGTCTGCAAGGAAAAGGTGTCTCAAGTTTTCCCTCCCCCTCTATACATATGGTGTATTAGTTAGAAGGTGCACAAAGCACGTATGCATTAGGTTTGCATATGCAATGAGCAGGACAGTTGTTCATGGGTTTAGTGAATATTTTTTATGTTTTTTATTGGTGAAATGAACATTGCCAATAATAATAAAGTGAATGTTACCCACTCCCCCTCCAAATATCAGCCATATGTTTTCATGAACAGAGAGCACTTATCATGTATCCTGCACGTCTTAGTGAGATAACAGAACATGAATTTGTGGGGATGTTGCTGCTCTAATTGAAACCTGTACATGTTTGTCAGTTGGTGGACGAGTAAGTCGTGAATTAAATTATACTCGCCAGAAGATTGGAGAAGAGGCTATGTTTAATCCTCAACTCATGATTCAGACCCCGAAAGAAGAAGGTGCTAACGTCCTGACCACAGAAGCTCTCCGACAACACCTGGACTCAGCACTCCAGGCCAGCCGAGTCCATGTATATATGTATAACAGGTAAGCTGGTGGGAAGAAGCTGCTGGTTTTAGTAAGTTACGTTACCCTGGAAATATGCTTAGAGTGTTAGTTCAAATAGTTTTCTAATGAAGTGACTTTTTTTTAAAAATCTTGATTTTTGTTTCTGGAGTTTGGTAATAAATCAAATACATGATAATGTATTTTCAGTAAGTATCTTGGCACTCTATACCCAAATGAGTATGATCCTTCAAGCAGCCATCTGTGGGGCTATACACCCATTCTGAAGATGTTTCATTGCTTAAGATATTTTTGGAGCAGTTACAGTTGGAATTGCTTTTAGTCAACTTAAAAAGAATGGGAAAAGAAAAAGTAAGAACTTACTTCTGGTTTCTTTGTATTCCCCACAGTTACTGACAGTTGGTATGTGTTACAGAGTGTATAGCAGGTTGAGCCACTCTGGTGAATTCTTACTGACAGGAATCATACACAGCTTCACAGAATATTACCCTTTAACTTCATAGCTAATTTAACAATGCTGTGGGTATAGTAAAAACATACAGGGACTTCTGGAGCAAAGCTGACAGTCCTTTTTCTCTCTATTTAAACAGTGAGTTATTCAGGGCAGGGACCACATCTCTTGTCCATCCTTGCACCCCAGCATTTAGATCAGGGTGGGCACTCAAGAGTTTGTTGATTGACTAACTGCCTAGATTGTAAATTTGAACTGGGTCTTCTCCCTGAACTATTGAGATGACTATCACTAAACCCGGTTTCCAGGGGACCACTGAGTTAGCATTTACCTAACCCCATCCTGTCCCTCACCAAGGCTTTTAAGCACCTCTTTTTTTTTAAAAAAAGAGAGCACGAGTGGGGGGGAGGGGCAGAGGGAGAGGGAGAGACAGAGAATCCCAAGCAGACTCCACGCTGAGCGTGGAGCCTGACACAGGGCTCAATCCACCACCCATGAGATCACGACTTGAGCCAAAACCAAGAGTCAGATGCTTAACTGACTGGGCCAGCCAGGCGCCCCTTTGAAGCACCTTTTAACTGAGTGGTTGATAATACGGTTTTTCACAGGAGAGGGGAGTAAGTGGCCCTGTAGACATATTCAGTGGCCAGGGAGAATGAGGGGAGAGAATAAAAGGAAAATCTGTACTTGTCGCTGCTACAGTAACCTCTACTCTCCATAGCTTAACTGGATTGGCTCTAAGACCCACCTTGCTGGAGACAGAGCCCTAGGGTCCAGCATGAGTCACACGCTCTTGTTTCCTCATCTGTAAACTAAATTACTGATGACGTGTGCTCTACTATCCTCAGGAGGCCCTGAGAACAAAATGAGATACATGTAATGGATGAAAGGGAAAAACGTAAGGAGGTATTCTAGCACTTTCATCAGGCGGACTTGACTAGTGAGCACACCCTGCTCCTTTCAGCACAACCCTCCCATTCTGTAGAGGAAGCAACTACCCAGTGCAGTTTTGCAAAATTTGTAAGTAGAGGCCCTGTAAAGAACCTGGAAATGGGCATTCCAGGGCCACTGTAAGCATGCTGACCCATTTTTAACAAAATGGGACCCTATCTTGAAGGGACTTGTCACTAACACACTTAAGGAGAAGATGTGTCTGTACCATAAAATTACACTCTTTATCTGAGATGGAACCGGGAACATTTATGCGTTGGAATGAGCTTTAAAGAACACCTAGTTCAACCCATCTCATTTTTTAGGCAAGAAAACCAGGAATTAGATCAATTAGAGCATTTGTCCAAGTTCATACAATTATTAAACATTAGAGCCAGGTTTCAAACCCTTTCTTCTGGCTCTAAGACAGGGGTTTTTCTAATGCACAGCCATGCCCTTCTCAAGGAAGTGTAAATGAGTTCACCAACCAAGTGATATTAAGGACCTCATCATGCTAGATAGTCTATGTCAATGCTGTGTGGAGTTCAGTATGAACATATGCATAGATGCCTGAGTGGGTGGGTGGGTGGGTGTATGAATGGATGGAAGGATGGATGAATAACTTGAGCCCTGCACTCAGGAACTGACGGTCTAGTTAGAGGGAAGACATCAGTGGGCACATACAAAGCCAACCACAGGCACTCCCCGGCCCAGGTGTTCCAGGTGTCAAGCAGATCGGACCAGCAGTGCCCTGGAGTTCAAGAGAAAGGGGTGATTTTCAGTAGCACCGGGCAAAAAAAGCCTAGTGGGAAGGGGTGGCATTTCACTGGGAACCCTGCAGTATAGATATGAAGGTTCCACAGGGAAGTGGGCTAAGTCCAGAACATTCCTTTGGGTGACCAATACAAAAAAAAAAAAAAAAAAAAAGACCAATAAAATAGAGCAGTTTAGAGAGACTTAAAAACATTTTTTTCTTAGCCTGGTTTCCCCATCCCCATCCTTTTTAAATTTCCTCTTTGTTTCAAGTTAAGTTTATCTCCCTGATGCACTTGGAAAGGCATGGGCTTATAGAGCATTTTTCCAGAGTTGACAGAACTCTGTAATAATAGATAGGTGATAGATAATAGAGGTAATTGTTGATCAGTATATTTAATATCATTTCTACAGAACAAGAATAAAAGACTGTAGAGTAGGAAATCTGTCTACCTGGCAGTGTTGTTTACAGCATTCGTGGTTAAGAGCAGAAGTCATTTTGAACACTATCTGTTAATAAGGACATTAACTGCCAGTAAAAAAAAAAGTCAGTAATATTTTCCTACTGAGTATATGTTAATGTTGTTATAAACCTTACTAATTAGTCTCCACTTATTTTGAATTTGTGATAATTCAACTCTGAATTATCTTCCCTGAAGTTGTTCAATGTATGTAGAAAAGCAGATTAATGGTGTAAACAAGATTATTGGGAGAACACTTAAGAAAACAAGACTTTTCAAGTACTTTGGTAACATTCATTTACATAAACACCCAGATGTTAATTACAATTGAGTATTATCTATTCATTAAAGCAAGCTTGTTGAGTCTTTACTTGGCAAAAAGTTGTGCTCCTTTTGACAGATACTTAAAAGTGATAGAAATTGCAGTTCTTTCTATATGTTCTATAGTTCCGATTTTGCACTGATTTCCTTACATTACTATAATGAGAATGTTTGTCTCTGCTTTTTATTTTACTAGGCAGTGGAAATTGGAACATTTGTGTTACAAATCCGGAGAACTTATCACAGAAACAGGTTACATGGATCAGGTATATTTTCTTCTTTTTTTTTTGCAAGAAATTCTCAAAAATTCCTCAGTGGTATGCATTAGCCTAACGTGTGGCCTGTTTTTTTTAACTTTGACAGATAATAGAATATCTTTACCCTTGTTTAATTATTACACCTTTGGACTGCTTCTGGGAAGGGGCAAAGTTACAATCTGGGACAGCGTACCTACTGTAAGTGTGTGATCTTGTTTTCTGATGTCTGTGATTTCTAAACTTTAGAATGTTTTGGATGCTCCTTGATCATTGTTTATTTTATTTCAGTTTTGAAGAAATAAAAACATTGAAATTCCATGGGCATTTTTTGAGTGAATAGTTGGGGGAGAGGGGATGTCAGCAGAATGTTTTTCCTCTTTTCAAAAAAAAGTTCTGAAGGCACCATTAAATTTCATTCACTTTTACCAACCTATTTATATGCAAATAAAATGCAAATTCTTTCAGAGTATGTATGATTTTTAACTCTTTAATAAAATGTTTGCAGTTTTGCTGACCAAGCACTGTCATATGTTTGACTTCTTTTCTCAGGAGAGAGAATTTATTAGTGTGTACATATCAGAATTAAATATATTGAGTTTAAGTTCAAGATCCTCATGCAGAGTAAAATACTAACCTTTCTTTGGATCACATTAATGACATTGAAGGGGGAAATCCGCTATCTTTGAAGGCCATGGTAGGGGATGCTTCACGGTTTAGCAGTTGGATATTATATACACCGCATCATTTAGGGAATAATTGTTAATCAGTGTAGACGTTTTCAGTTAATTATGCAAGAATTCGTGCTTGGGTTATTGTTTCTGTCCTGGCTCACACATATCTGCAAAAGCAATTTGCAGTGGCCATACCCTGACCTTCAGTGTACAGTTTTTAGATGGGAAATAAGGGGTTTTGTGTTTTCTGGTTGGGAGATTCTGAATAATGACTTCAGCCTGGTTAAGCAGCTACAGTGTGGTTTGAACCATATAACAGGCAGCCAAAAGCCTTTCTGGTCTGTCAACAGCACAAATTCAAAAGTGAGTGTGGGGGGAAGTGGCCTTGATGGTGGTGATGGCAGAGGCAGCAGGGGGCTTTTGGGGTCGACTGCCAGGCTGTCAGAGAGAGCTCATAAGCATGGGATTATTGAAGGTAATGGAGATCAAATATTTTGATTGATGACATTTACGAAGCATTTATTAGGCTGGCAAGTGCTAATTTGACATTGTGATTCTCTCTTCTGCGCCCCCCCCCTTAATTTTGGATCTCAGTCTTCTGCTTAGGAGCACCCTTCGGCAAATTTTGATTTCAGGTATTAAAGATGACGTATCAGCCAGTAACGAGTCTTTGATTTCTTCATTAATTTACAAGCTCTCTGCTTGCCATTTCCATTCATGAATTATTTTCCTGACTCGGGTTTGCATACTGATCCCCGGGAAAGGAGCATTCGGTTTCTGTGCCAGGGTCTCCCCGCGTTGCCGCATTCCCAGAAAGCCTAGTGCGATCCGGACGCAGTATATGCGATTTGCACAGGCTCGGAGGCTTGGAAAAGCCTCTTTTCATGGTCTTGCCTTCTAATTTCTTTCACAGAGGTAAGCCTCCTTTGCAGTGGACAAACTTTGACCCTTTGGAATTCCTGGAAGAGTTAAAGAAAATAAACTATCAAGTGGACAGCTGGGAGGAAATGCTGAATAAGGCTGAAGTTGGTCATGGTTACATGGACCGGCCCTGCCTCAACCCGGCTGATCCAGACTGCCCCGCCACAGCCCCCAACAAAAACGCGACCAAAGTGAGTACAGTCATTGATTCTGCTCCTGGGGGCCAAGAGGAAAGCTTGGTGTCTTCCCCCATAATTCCTAGTCCTATTATTTTCATTTTTAAGATTTGATTCTCAACGACTATTTTTTTGTCTATGGAGCTAAGTTTGTTTATAGAGCTAAATTTTGATGTAAGATTTGCCGTACGCCTCTCATTAGCCTTGTTATTAATGTTCTCTCTGAAACAAACAAGCCCTTAATGCACTGGATTTTAACAAGGCATGTGACCTGCCTACTAATTCCCGTAATTATGTGGCTGTCTTTTTATTTTAGCCTCTTGATGTGGCCCTTGTTTTGAATGGTGGATGTCATGGATTATCCAGAAAGTATATGCACTGGCAAGAGGAACTGATTGTGGGTGGCACGGTCAAGAATAGTACTGGGAAGCTTGTCAGGTAATCCAGCACAAGGAGGAAAAATCCAAGCCATCAATTTTTTTGTCCTTTGCTCGGAAACCACTTCCCTCCTGACATCTGCGAGTGTACTTGTACTAATACTTAACTGTTATCCTGGCTAGCCGTCTGGTGTAATAGAATATTAGGAAATACTAGTGGACCAGACCAGCTTGAAAAACTACCTTGTGGGGAATTTTTCAGGGGGAGATTGGCTGTTTTCATCAGGACCCTAGTTAGTGTCTGTAAGATTAGAAGATAGATTGTGTAGAAAGTGGGGGCAAGCGTAAGGCGGGCAGGCAACAGTGGTCAGAGCAATAGGGTGGAGAGGTGTGAGCTAAGCCCTGTCACAGGCTGACCAACAACTGACGGCTGCCTAAGAATTCTCCTCTGTGCCCTTGCGGACTCCGTTCGGTCAAGCGTCAGGCGCTCTCAGTCTGAGATCCCTCCCTTGGGAGAGCCGTGGGCTGGGATTTCTGCACAGGCGAGCGTGCAGTGCCAAGCCTATCGTATCTGGTCAAGCTGTCTACTCCCCTACCCTTCCTGTTTCACTGAATAGAAACTGAGAAAGGAAATTGCTTATTAATTTAATTTTGGGGTCTATCTGTAAAAGGTTTGTAAGGTTACACCTTTAATATGGTATATCCATCTATTGAGTAAAATAACCATCCAGGTCCCGTTTAATGGAAACATGTGCTCACGTAGAAGGAGAGAATGGCCGCGAGTGAGGTGGGGCGCGCGTTCGGGATTTTAAGCAGCGAGGACAACTTCCTGGAAATGCTGATGTCGTGTCTTTGCCACCCTGTCACAGTGCCCACGCCCTGCAGACCATGTTTCAGTTAATGACTCCCAAGCAAATGTACGAACACTTCAAGGGGTACGAGTATGTCTCACACATCAACTGGAATGAGGACAAGGCAGCCGCCGTCCTGGAGGCTTGGCAGAGGACGTATGTGGAGGTAAATCGGCGGCATTCTGACACCCAGCTTGGAATCTGGGTACAGACCCCTTAGTTACCACGTACTTCATTGTCGCCATGTTTTAGAACTTTTTTTTTCATTAGAATCTATTTTCAAAACAAATGGTCATTTTGGGGACCTGGTGGGGTGTGAACTTTTTTTCCTTTCCTAGATATGGAACACCTTCGTGTCTGGCTGATAGCTAATTCTAATTGGGACGCCTGAGCCGTTCTGAGTAACCAGTTGTGAACTCCGGAGCGAAGGCCTAACAGTGTTTAAAAAAACACTGGGTTAGCAAGAAAAGGTGTCTGGAAAACATTAGCAAAGCGTAGAATCTGTTCACAGCTGCAGTCCCCTTGGTTAGGCCATGTGACAGGAGCTGGCCTTTCCCAAGCAGTGACCTCTACTGAGCTGCATGTGACCTTTTAAAAGTGGCCAGTAAACAAAGTGGGGAGGAGTGGCCACAAGACTGAGTCGTTTTGATTTGGGGCGGGGCAGGAGCCGACGGGACCGCAGATCTGTTGTAGAGCCACAGAGAGGAGAAGGTAGTCTCAGGTGAGGGCACGTAGAGGTAAGGACGCCTCACCGCGGCACCCCGTTTTCACCTGATGTGCGGTGGCCTTCATTGTCCCGGGTCCAGGGTCATGTCACCTCAGTCCAAGTTCAAACCCAAATCATGTAGGACTCTTTTTAACGCATCAGAAAAAAGTGAGGGTTGAGTGGAGGGAACGCGTCCCCCAAAGTCTGTGCTGTTGAAGCTCACTGAAGCTCTCATTCCATTTGGGACTTTATGTTGTGACCACAGGTGGTTCATCAAAGTGTCGCTCCGAACTCCACTCAGAAGGTGCTTTCCTTTACCACGACGACCCTGGACGACATCCTGAAGTCCTTCTCTGATGTCAGTGTCATCCGAGTGGCCAGTGGCTACCTACTGATGGTAACAGTCAATTCAGTTCTCCTTGGGGGAGGGCGAGTGGGTTTGGTTTTTAGTTTTTATCTTTCCATGACCGCTCCTGCTTTTTAACTGCTCTTAACACACACGTGCATTCAAGACAGAGAGAGCTCGGCTTCATAACGATTTCAAAAGTGGTCGTGTAAAGCATTTTCTCCCATTTGCAGTTTGCCCATCTTTGACTCATATTATTCCGTGTGTTGTCTGTAATGTAAATTGTTGTTGTTGGATTTAATTAGTTCTACCTTTTGATTTGGGATGATGGGTGGGGGAAAACATTAGAATCCTTACACATTCTAATGTTTGGCTTTTGTGTCTCCCCCCAACCCCCCGTTTCCCACTCCTCACTCCTTCCCCTGCCCCCCACCCCGTTGTTCTGCTCGCAGCTTGCCTATGCCTGTTTAACCATGCTGCGCTGGGACTGCTCCAAGTCCCAGGGTGCCGTGGGGCTGGCTGGCGTCCTGTTGGTTGCACTGTCCGTGGCTGCAGGATTGGGCCTGTGCTCATTGATCGGGATTTCCTTTAACGCTGCAACAACTCAGGTACTAAGGGAGCCACCTATCCACTGTTTGTTGACAAACACCCCCAGGCGGGCTTGGCCCAGCGGCCTCCTATGTGTCCATGTCACCTACAGGGTCTTCCGGCCTTTACCACCAGGAGGGGGGTGCTGTCTCAGAGAGAGAGGAGCACTTGGCAGGGGGTGGAAGGTCTGCACGGGCTTGTTGATGGTAGAGATGTTTCACTTACCAGTGCAGTGAAGACCGTTCTTTAGAGCCATGCCATGGTTCTCAGACTTGAGTGTGCCATAGAGTTGCCTGGAGGGCTGGCCACACCTCCGACTGCCGGGCCCTGCCCCCAGAGGTTCTAATTACCAGTTCTCAACCATGCCTGTCCAGGGATCATGCTCTGAGAACCACTGCTTTTGATGAGTTAGCTTCCTTCTTATTTATTAGCTTTAAAAATAAAATAGTGGAGCTTAAAAATAGAAATGGATAAGACCTTCTGTGAGCTAAAACGGCTAGATCCGGGGAATCTTAACCCTCAGAACTAGGTTCTTCACATGAGCTGATGTAAGCTGTCCTTGGGGTAGCTGCTGAGGGCAGTGTTCTCAGTGGCTCTAGAATGATCCAAATTGGACTTCATGTGTTTAATGCACTGCCCTTTGTGTTCGCTGCAGGTTTTGCCGTTTCTTGCTCTTGGCGTTGGTGTGGATGATGTTTTCCTTTTGGCACATGCATTTAGTGAAACAGGACAGAATAAAAGAATCCCTTTTGAGGTAATAGAAACACAAAAGAAGAAAGCTTTGGGGACAGCCAAAATCCCCTCTGTTCTTGAGTATTTGTCCTTTCATTTTCTTTAATCTGGCCTAGTAAATATTTCAGTCCCAAGTCAGTGACATGTTACTGACTTTAAATAAGTAAAAGAAATCAGAGGAACCGCAGAACGGTTATTCCAAAGCCCGTATTTGCTTTTCTGGGTTTTTTGTGGGGTTTTGGGGTCACTTTGTCCCCATCCCCCTACCCCCCCAGCACACACCCTTTAAATCTTAAAAATTGACTTAAATCATTGTCTTGCAGCTTTGTGTTTTGGATATGGTAACCAGGTACAACCCAGGACCGTATAGATAGTCCTGAAAACGTTTTCGATGCCACTGTCGCTGGGGGTGGGCAGAGAGAGCCCTTCCTTATGCCCTGACGTCAGCATGATAAACTACCTGTTGTCCCACTTTGTCACGTATTTGGACTGTTGGCACGATCTGTGATCTGGGGGCCCCTGCGCTGTGCGGCTCTCAGCACCTTGGTTTCTCGTCCTCAGGACAGGACTGGAGAGTGCCTCAAGCGCACGGGAGCCAGTGTGGCCCTCACCTCCATCAGCAATGTCACCGCCTTCTTCATGGCCGCATTGATCCCCATTCCCGCCCTGCGGGCCTTCTCCCTCCAGGTGAGTCTGCACTGGTGACATCCGTGGCGAGCACCACACGGAGGCCGAGCAGCCCGTCTCCCTTCTCCACTAACGTGAAGACGAGTTGCTTGTCCGCATCTGGGGCCGTTCTGGGTGGAAGCTTCTTAAAGCAACAACCCCAGCACTCCCCCTAAAACACATGCCAGGGCTCCTCCTCTTCTTCCAGTCCTAGAGCCCAGATGCCTGGGGCCCAGGTATCCCCAAGACCTGGTGCCTTAGGGAGTGGCCCTTCCCTTTATAGTGAGACTAAAACCACACGAGGGCCACTCTGTGGAGGATGCTGAGAAGCCCCCATTCCAGATAGCTGGAAGTCCTCTGGTTTCGCCACAGTGCAGCCAGCTCTTGGCCGTCCCTGCTTCTGAATCCCACTGGGTTTCTGTGCTTACCCCTTCCCTGCTGGCCACCTCAGCCCCAGCACGCCACCCTCTCTATTTCCCTAAAGCAGCCCCAACACATGGCAGTTGTACAATGCAGAGGAGGAGGCTGCGGTATAGACCAGCTAGGCGATAACCTAGAACTGAGTACGGTTGACCCTTGAACAACATGGGGTTTGGGGGTGCTGACACCCCTCCCACACAGTCAGATCTTCATATAACTTTGGGCTCCCCAAAAACTTTACTAATAGCGGCTGTTGGCCAGAAGCCTTACTGATAACATAAACAATCAGTTAACACATCGTTTATATGTTACATCTGTATTCTTAGAACAAAGTGAGCTGGGGGGGAAACGTTATTAAGAAAATCATAAGGAAGAGAAAATACATTTCGCGTGCTGCACTGTATTTATTGGAAACAGTCAACCTCTAAGTGGACCCATGCAGTTCAAACCCATGTTGTTCGAGGGTCTGCTGCATTAGCTTCCACCGTGCAAACCGTACGGGCCATTCTCTGCCTGCAGGGGGTTTGTTGGTGGGCGCTCGCTTGTCATGTCTTTCCTTAGTCTCTCCACAGTCTCCTCCATCTCTTCTCTCTTCTTTTGGTCTCCTACTCCCCTCTCAGGCTGCACAAGAAAACTCAAAATTCTTCTGCCCTCCTTCCGCAGAGCAGTTTGGCTCCTGCATTGTTTCTGCTCTCTCTTCCCAAACCAGGCCCTTCCACACCTAGAGGCCACCAGGATATTTCTTTTGCGCAGAGAGCCAGCTTATACGAACGGTAAGAATGGAGAGCTCCCAAGGCTGGGGACACAGCTCTGGTCCGTTCTGTGCTTGGCCTGGAGTGCTGGCATGGCTCTGCCGCTGCTTGAAACTCTAAGGATTCCTGAAATCGGTCAGTACAGCGGATAAAGAAAGCTAACTGACCAGTTTGGGATGTGGTCTTCCTAATAAGCCCCTAACGGTTTCAGGTTTTGGTATTACAAAGACGTTCTTGAAGTTTTGTGAATTAAATTCACATTTTATTTTATTTTTATTTTTTTTTTTAAAAGATGTATGTATTCATGAGAGACAGAGAGAGATAGAGGCAGAGGGAGAAGCGGGCTCCCCACAGAGCAGGGAGCCCGATGCGGGGCTCGATCCCAAAACCCTGGGACCATGACCTGAGCCGAAGGCAGACGCTCAATGACTGAGCCACCCAGGCGCCCCTAAATTCACATTTTAAAGCTTCCAACTATTTTCAAAGAGAGACGCGGTGGCTTTCCCCCCTTTTTCTCTTACAGTATGATGTGTAATTTATGAGATGGCCAGGTTTTTAAGGGAAACTACTTTTGGCGTCACTTTTTTTGGGGGGGGGGCAGGGGCAGAGGGGGAGGGAAGGAGAGAATCTCAAGTAGGTTCCACACCCAGCACAGAGCCTGATTTCACAACCCTGACAGCATCACCTGAGCCAAAATCAGGAGCTGGGGTCGCTTATCCAACTGAGCCACCCAGGTGCCCCTTGGTGTCACTTTTTAAGCTGTTATTACATCCAGCTTCTTCCTACTGCTTTACTCTTGTTAATCAGCAAAAGGTGATTGTGACCAGGAAGAGAAACTGACAAATCATAAATTAGCGTTCTCTTTATGCTTTTGTCAACACGCTTCGCTCTTTTGTAGTCGTCATATTTGAATTAATTTCATTTCACCAATGGCTAATGAAGATCTGAGGAACTAACGATCCAGCTGTGTTTGGGACACTAGACTTACTTAATATTTAGTGTAAGATAGAACATGAGAAAAGATTTTTGTACCAGTCACTGCGACCGCCACCCCCCAAAAGAAAAATACTAAAAAAAATGAAAATAATAAAGGGTTTACTATAAATAGCTAAAAGTAGAAGGAGTAAGTGAATTAGTGAATAAGGTTAAATCTGAACGACCGAAGCACAGGAAAATGAAAATATATCTAACTGCTTAACTGCTCAGTGATGTGGAACATAAGTGAACGGTGCCTGCTAAAGTATTGGTACAATTACCGATCTAGAATGCCTTTTTGCACAGGCATCTGCACACCCGCCTGCAGTCTCCCGTTCTTGCTGCTTATACACACAGCAGATGCCAGTGTTGAGAAATTGTCCCCCTCCTCTAACAGTGGGACCCTCTCCCGCCTCTCTCCTTTTCTGCTTGCCTTTTTCTCGCTGCTCTTTATTTCTGCTCTGCCTCACGCTCCTTCATTTCTTCTTGTGTCTCTCTCTCATTGTCTCCTCTCCTCTCTCAGTACACACTGATGATTCATCAAGGCATACTCTCCTTTAATGATATCCTATGGTGTGGTGGTCTGAAAAGCTACATGAGTTTTCCTTACGCCTTTTAGAAAAGCCAGTACGCTAAAGTTCTCCCAAGGTAAGCACCTTACCGAGATGAAATGAGTACTTTTAATTTTTCATTTCTATTCCAAGCCCCTGGGGTACCACTTTAGAAAATTGAGGACTTCCAGGAGTCCTCATTTATTAAAGACCCCATAATAACTGGCTCATTCTCTGTCAAAAACAAACTTAAAGAAAAAAGGAAAAGGAAAGAAAAAGAAGAAAATGTAAGAAGAAAAGAAAAAGAATGTGCCATGATTTTTGCTGTAGCCATCAGAAATTTACACTGGTTTCGTCTTAAATATATTGACATTCAAAGTTGATCATGATGTAGCTTCTCTTTCTTTTAGTGAACTGTGTTAAGTTGTGCCTCTGGGTATCCATTTGTGTTTGTTTTCAGGATACTATAGATTAAGCGTCAAAAGAAAGAGACCCACAGTGGTTCTGTACACTAATAAATCCATATTAATTTAGGATTTTTCTTTGTGGAACTTTTCCAATTGTCTAACTTTATCAAAGTAAATAGAATTCCCCCCCCCAAAGAAACTGTCTTAGACTTCCTTGTCAATCTCCATCCATCTGACCAAATGCCACCTCTATACCAGAAAGCAGTGGCACCGTCTAATTCTTTGGGAACCAATGCCCTGCATAACTGAATGGTGTTCTTCAATGGAAACTCCCTGAACCAGAACTCCATATCGTTCCATACAGTGAGGGGGTCTAGATGAGGGCCCTCTGGGCAGGGTCAGTTTGTCTCTGTGCTCTGCAAGTGTGTCAGCAGGGCCCCCACGGATGCTCTGCCGCGGGTGGGGTGGGGGGGCAACACAGAAGATGGGGACATTTCCTTCAAGTACAGTAATTAGAATTGATTGACAGTGCAAATCATCCCCATCAATAGATTTTCTTACAATGTCTTAAGCTCCCCTTTGCGCCTGCAGTGACACTTTTCCCTTGCTGAGAAGTCCTTGCAGCTTGTTGGTCTTTACTGTTTGGGTGCACTTGAATAGGACATTGACCTTTGCGCCTGCAGTGACACTTCTCCCTTGCTGAGAAGTCCTTGCAGCTTGTTGGTCTTTACTGTTTGGGTGCACTTGAATGGGACATTGAAGTTGTGCCGTTTTCTTGTCAGAATATGTTCTCCCTGTGTACGCAATATGCCGCCGGACAGTGAGCATGGACAGGACGCTACACTTCAGAGTTTGGGGGTTCTTCTTGTCCTCCACAGACGCCTCCGGGGGATAAAGCTGATATCAGATGTGTCCCCAGCCCCTGTGGAAGCCTCAGTGCTGTTCCTGCCAGAGCACCCCCGGGCCACTTGGGTTCCGCAACCTCAGGAACTTTTGTCCATAGTGAGATGCCTGGGAGTGTTCTGTTTGCATTCCACCCCCGAATTCTAAACATGCCTATAATAGAAAGAAAAGCTGAAAGGACTCCACCGCCAGGATTGAATTTTCTGGAAAAATCTCCTTGAGAATCAGAAATCAGACCCATATTTGCCAGGACCCCTGTGGTCAGATTGGTCAGGAGCCCCAACCCAGCCCATGTCCATCTCCTTAGGAGGTGACCAGGTGACAAGAACTCCCAGGTCGCAGTCAGGCTGAGGGCATTGACATCAAGCCTGTGTTTGAATTCGATTTACTCCGTGACCACCGGCAGGTGACCATCCTCTGTACTACGGAGTCTGTTAGGTACTAATGTCAACAGCAGTAATAATGGCTGTCCTGGTTGCTGTTGGGGATCGAATGAATCATGTGTTAACTACCTGGTCTCCCAGTACTCCCCCTTTTCTCTGCCCCCAACAGAATTCTAGGTCTCCCTCTCAGACACAGCTTGTCGAGTTCCTCCACGTGGCACATCCTTCCTCCCTGGCCCCACGAGAGGCCCGTTTTTGTCTTCTACACCTCCTTGAGACCCTGCCTTGACCACCCTCCACCCTCTGCCCACACCCCCCCCCCGGGTACTCTTCCCCCTCTGAGCTGCTCTGGAACCCTATGCAAGCTTTTATTACTACATTTATTAGCCTGAATTGTAGTTTGTTGGTAGGTCTGACTGTGGTGGTCCTTGAGAACAGGATTTTGTCTTATTTTTCTCTGTGTCTCCAGTACCCAGCTCTGTGTCCTCCCTTTTCTTTTTAAAGTATTTGTCTCTAAGATGAATCCGTTAGTCTTTAGGTCTTTAAAGACCATTCATTAGAGCGGTTAAGTTCACAGGTTTCATGTATTTTGAAATGATGAGGAATTTCAAAGCAGACTGAGAAGAGAGGAGTTAGGTAATTTTTAGAAGGAGACTCTTGATTATTTTTTGGTTTTGTGGACTTGACAGGGAATTAATTATTGAAAGGTACCTTTTCGGACCTTGGCCTTGCTCTTTCACCTTGAGCATAAATGCACAATTTTTATCAGAATCCCTTTGCAAAGTTCTCTTCTGATTCTGTTAGGTATCTGTTACAAGCAGGTTTTCTTTTCTCACCCTGAGACATTTACCCAGTTGGAGGACGTCTTAGAACTAAGTAGTTCTTTGAAAAACTTACTGAGACCTTTTAATTTTCAAAAAACTTTCTGATGATTTCTTGGTTACTTAGCATTCCAGTTCCTTCTTTTTTTTTTTTTTTATTGTGCCGCTTCTTTCCATTCCTGTCTGAATGGGCAAGCCCTTTCAACTGTCCTCTGTTGACTTTCCCCTATTAACAGCCCAATTGTGTAATTTTTACTAGGTCAGCAGGAGATTTGCCAAAGCACTACAGAATCTAGCCCCATGTTTATTCTAGGTTATGGAGTGACTTTTGAATCTGTACTTATTTATTCTGCATACTATAATCACACACAGGAATTTCTTTCTGCCTTACTCTCCTTGACCTTTTATGTTACTGTGCTCGCACACCCCACAGGCTACTCCAGAGGCTATTTGGAATGTGCCTATTAAAAACCTCAGGGGACGTGTTTGAAATTTTATTTCATGTTTTAAAGGTGACATTTTGATATACCCAATCCACTTTACGTCTAAATATTCTAAGTATAAAATCAGAGTAGCGTGAAACTCTTAGAAATGTTCTGAATGGGGAATGTTTGTTTTCAAATAAAACATCTCAAGTATATTCTGTATTCTGCCTTTGTAGATTTGGTTTGGTTAGGTTGCTAGCAAGACGCTCATTTCATTCCTGTGTTTGTACATCATGGGTTCATGAAATTCTAAGAGATGAAAAGAATCAGAATGATGGGGCCTGTTCTAGTCAAATAGTCTCTTAATGATGGAAGAGAAGCAAAATGATGAGAAACTCCAACATCTATTTCAAGTTTAAACACTTCAATAGGGAATTGAAAGAAAGATGTTGTTTAAAACCTCTTTTATTTTCAGAGCAGTCCTCTGACTGGGTGGAGACATATTGGTGACCTCTACTTTTTTTTTTCCCCTGCTTCCAGGCGGCTGTAGTAGTGGTATTCAATTTTGCTATGGTTCTGCTAATTTTTCCTGCGATTCTCAGCATGGATTTGTATCGACGTGAGGACAGGAGATTGGATATTTTCTGCTGTTTTACAAGGTACAGTTTCATGAGCTGCTATGGCCTTTATTTGTTGGGTACAGAGTGGTAGGTTTAGAGAACTCTTTAGCCTGTAGACTTGGAAGAAAATGTAGCTAACAGGGCTTGTTACCAGTGTGATGGAGGCAGAGGAGATAATGGATGGAGGATGCTTTGTTGGGGATATCGAGTCACAGGCTCTCCCCTCCCCTGACTAAAGACTCACAGCTCTGGGGTTGTGATGCACATGCTCACTATTTCTGTTATAGATCACTTTGGCTGATTATTGGGAGTGTATCATATCTCTGTTGAGTCAGGCAGAACAAAGGTTTGAAAACCAACCATCCAGAAAAAATACAGCCCTTTGGGTGTTGTGGGGTTTTGGGGGGGAGGGGTTGTGTGTTTTTTAGGAATTGTGCTTTGAAACGGGTTCATCAGCATGTGACTTTGATTTTGCCAGCCAAATTCAGGATCGGCCATCCATTTGGCCTCCTTTCACTGTGTGTGTGTCCAGGTGGTTAAATCAGGTGATGTTTGTGGAGCTCAACAGTATGATATTTTTCTTCTAAATTAGAGCTATGTAAAATGGATACTGTCAGTCATTGGCAAAAATGAAAGCACTGTTTTCCCTGTTTCAGTATACCATTGCAACATATTTTCCCCTCTTAGCCCCTGCGTCAGCAGAGTGATTCAGGTTGAACCTCAGGCCTACACGGAGACTCATGATAACACCCGCTACAGCCCCCCGCCCCCCTACAGCAGCCACAGCTTCACCCATGAAACCCAGATCACCATGCAGTCCACAGTGCAGCTCCGCACAGAGTACGACCCCCACACGCATGTGTACTATACCACTGCTGAGCCACGCTCCGAGATTTCCGTGCAGCCTGTCACCATGACCCAGGATACCCTCAGCTGCCAGAGCCCCGAGAGCACCAGCTCCACGAGGGACCTGCTCTCCCAGTTCTCCGACTCCAGCCTCCACTGCCTTGAGCCCCCCTGCACCAAGTGGACACTTTCATCTTTTGCTGAGAAACACTATGCTCCTTTCCTCTTGAAACCAAAAGCCAAGGTAATCTACCAAAACAGAAGATTCTTCCTGTCTTCAAGAAATAACAAAACAGTCTCCTTTGGAATTCATCAGGTTGCTTCTTTGGGTGTGACTTATTTCAGGCCTCCTAAAAAGTCAGTCCGTTTAGCATGTGGGGCCATTTTAATGAGCTCATCTTCTACAGGAGTGAAACTCTATGTAGCAAATGTTTCTGTGAATTTAGATGAACTCCTTATGTTTTAAACATTTTCTTTTTCATGAGCTTGTTTTAAAATGTGATTACTATGATTACTTGTTTTTCCCTCTGGAGAATGACCCCTACATGCTTCATCAGGGCCATTTTGGGGGTAAAAGTGAGGTCTGAACCAAACAGCTTGCTTTTGTCAAGAGGTCCTGTCCTCTGGCTCTGATCTTATGCCTCTTACTGTGTTACAGGTCGTGGTGATCTTCCTTTTCCTGGGCTTGCTGGGGGTCAGCCTTTATGGGACCACCCGAGTGCGCGATGGGCTGGACCTTACAGACATTGTGCCTCGGGAAACCAGAGAATATGACTTTATTGCTGCACAATTCAAATACTTTTCTTTCTACAACATGTATATAGTCACCCAGAAAGCAGACTACCCGAATATCCAGCACTTACTTTACGACCTTCACAAGAGTTTCAGCAATGTGAAGTATGTCATGTTGGAAGAAAATAAACAGCTTCCCAAAATGTGGCTGCACTACTTCAGAGACTGGCTCCAAGGTGAGGTGCTGCTAGTGGGTGTTCGCCCTTTGTAAACTTTCACCGTTCAGTCTTTGGTATGTTCAGCTTCCACAAGTTCCCTTTGTTCACTTTATTAAAGTGTTAGATTATTACATAACACTAACATGTTTCATTGACTTCTAAGTGATGCTTAAAATTCTTATATGGACTGTTTCTGGGGCAGCCTCCCAAATCTGGCTTTTACCTATAAAATGATGCAAACAATTTAAACAGGGGACTCGGGAACTTCTGTACAAATTTATGGGTGCACATTAGGAAATGGGAAGTATGTTATAAAATCGGGAGCTGGATGCTTCTAGTGCTCTTTTTTTGGATGGTGGTTAGTTTGTTGATCAAGTGAAATCAGAGTGTTGTTGGAATTTCTAGACTGACTTATTGACAAATTATGGCTTTACTGTACTGGTAAATTTTGCACCATTTGAGAATATAATGTAAAATTCCATATTTTGACCATCTTTTGATTTGGCATATGAAATAAACTTATCAATGCTTAATCACATCTCACAGTATTTCATAAATAATCAAATTCAGCTTTAAAATGCCTTTCTTAGCTTGTTACCTCGTCCTTAGAAACATTTCTAGGAAATAGTAGTCAACTGGAGAAAAAAAAAATGGCTTAAATTTGTTCCTAACTACCAACTGAATATGAATGTATTCAGTGATTCCAAGAACATCTGTTCATTTATTCCATGTTGACACATGCAGAGTGAAGTGGGGAATCAAGATAATTATCCACACAATTCAGGCAAAAAATGCTTTTACTGAAATACCCAAATAATTATGGCCCCCAACATTTTTTGGCTTAAGTTATCCAAATGATTGTCTTAATTTCCCACTTAATTAGGCTTGTTTAAACACAGATTTGAGTGCCTTTTTTGGTCTTAAGTCAATACACTTGTATGTAAAGATTAAGCAGCCAATTTCCCTGGGAGTTTGCATGAAATGGTAAACAACTTGAGTTTGACTGAAAATTCTTCAGTACAGTTTCTGGCCTTGACTTTTGTTGCTAGAATTTTGTTTATACGTGTATACCAGATTTGACCTCTTCTTTTGAGGAAGGCAAAGAGAACTGCACAACGTTAATATTATTTTTTTAACATGCTCACGAGATTAACGTGAATTTGTTCCAAGTCTTATTTTTTACAGTTGTTTGGGAAGTTGTGTTTTTCAGATGAGTCAAAACAGGACCAGACAGTTGAGAGATTCCCTGCTTTTCATTTTTCCCCCATTGGCCAAAAACATGCAAATAGCTTGCCACAATGACAAAGAGATTGGCAGCACTGCCGGTATCTGAGCAAAGGAGGGTTATTGTAGAATTGATTTCAGTGTCTTCAGCCATTCCTTTGGATGCTCAATGTGGCCTGTTAGGCTGAGCTTGGGAAGAGGGCAGAGGGTACTGTCTCCAGGCAGTGGTGAGGGCTAAGCGTATTGTGAATTATCCCTATGCTTTCATCCCTTTAAAGACCTAAAGCAGTTGGACTTGAGAATCACACTTTTTTAAAGGTGCAATTGAATCATGTTGTTTTGATTGCTAAGTGAACAGCACCCACCTAGACCAAGTGAGATCCATTCTTGCTCCCAAGTCGGGGTCCCAGCCAGCTCTACAACTCTGCATGTGATTCTTACGAGGTCCAGCAGAGAGCACTGGACACAGAATGGCCAGGTAATGGGACCATTGGGCTGCCTAGGCGGTTTTCAGGCCTGTCAGGTGGTTGATTGGGTCTTTGAACATTTCCTGCAAGGAATCAGCTGTCCTTGAATCGTTTAAAAACATTTTGGGAGGCTGTTAAGTGTTGGGACCCCTCATTGGTTTTCAGTAGAATTACCACTAAAAACCATATCGCGCTATTGGTCTTTATCAACATTCCACAAGTTTGGGGGGGTGGTTAACTCATAAAAATATATAGGGGTAACATCGTATGTCATCTTTAAACACACATGCAAGTAAGGCGAAGTTACAGGTAAAAGCCACACTGTGCATCGTGAACCAGTGGTGTTCGTTTGTATTTCACACTGAATTATGCAGATAAAATTTAAATTAATGTTTTCATTTTAGGGGCCCATATCAAAGAGAAATTGACAATTGGGATAAGTAGCTCAGAACTTTTCCCTAGAAAATAATATTTAGTATAAAATTTAAAATGAGAAAAGTTCTAGCTAGAACATTTATGTTTTGCTGTAAAATAGGTATAATGTCACAAATGTTTTCTACAGTGCACATGTGTTAGAGTATAAAATGTTGGCCAAGGGGCAGTGGAGGCAAATCCTTGTGCCTCATTTAGTGTCTAGAATCCTATGTTGTACATGTACTCTTGGGCCAATTCATTGTTACTGAGCTTTTTGGTAATTTGTCAGAAAATAAAATAATCTAATTATGAGGACTTCACTCTTTCCTAAGGTCAATGACTATTTCTCGTTTGTGTTTGTATTCCAAGTACAGTTTATGGCACGGGGGGCTGGCAGCGTGGATGATGAGTTGAACTGAGTTGCCCATATCCCCAAATCCAATCTTTCTTCCTTTGGTTCACTCTAGGGTGTTCCCAGATTCTTAGTGCATAAATATCTTAAAACTACACTCACGCTTGTGGAACACTGTTCTCCCCTAGACATCATTGGTGCCCACGGTAACTCCGCTGATCGTATTCATGCCTTCAGCAGAGAACTTCCCGAGCGCCTTTGTGTGTCCAGGCCATTTAGAGCAGCCATGGTTCAAGCCGAGCCTGGAGCCCTGCTGGGTGGCCTTGGTCAAGTTGCTTTCCACGCCTCAGTTTCCTCATCGGTAAAGTGGGAACCATGATGCTAACAGGGCTGTCTCGTGAGGTGGTTGTGGTGATCAGTGTAAAATGCTGAGACGGCCCCACGCTCACTGAGCACGAGTGGCTCCTTAGGATTGACAGGTCAAGAGGGAAACGGTTCAAGTCCCATACAGGCCATGAAGTGATGAAAATTCTATTAAGGGGAGGAAAACAGACCAGGTCTCTTCTGGGGGATGGGGAGGGGAGGAGGGCTTGTTTTTGCTCTCCTGTTTATTTTTTTTCAAAAACAAAAAAAGGCTTTAGGTAATAAAATAACATCTGCTCGGTACGGCTTGTTGTGTGCATGCGCCGCTCTGAAAAAGTCTTGAGTGAGAGTCGGGAGCCGGCCGTGCGGTGGTCCCTCCCGCCCCTCCCGCCCGCCGCCGCCGCTCCTCCACGCTCGCCCCAGCACCGGGCCTACGGGCCTCATCCCCACATTGTTCATGTAAAAACAATGCCCACAGCAATGTGGGCAGGAAGGTTTAGAGAGAGAGACGGGGGACAGGGTCCTGTGCTCGCCTCTCCCCCTGCTTCAAATCCCAAGAGCTTCATTATTTTGAGCACTGAGGGAACCAGTACTGGCAGGGGGGAGGTGTCTTTGAAGTCACTCAAGGCATGTCATGAAATGAAATGAACTCTTTTCCCTTCTTACTGGCCATGTCTAACCCGTGCGAACGCAGCTTGTTCAAAAGATGTGGTTTCCTGAGCTGCTGGGGCTTGGGAGTTCTACTTGGGAGGGGATGGGGGGTGGGGGAAGCAGGGCAGTGGAAAGGAGGTGGGGGTGTCGGGGGAGAGTGTGTGCACAGGGGATCACTCAGCCCCTAAGGCCAGGTCACCAGGGCCCTGTTTTCTCTTCCAGCACGCTTATCTCTTTACAGCTGTAGCCAAACCGTCAGGTCTGTAATGATGGTTTTGATTACAGGGGCCAAGCGCAGCTGTGTGTGGTGGGCTGGTGGGCTCGCCCATCCCCCACACCCAGAAAGCCCTTTCCTTCCCCTCCCTGTGCTTGCGGTTTGTCATCTGTTCTCACAGAGCCCCCTTGTATTGGCCTGTGGCTTCCTGTTCTCAATCTGATCCAAATTTACCCCGTGAGGCATTTCCCTGCGCACACAGGCGCTCACAAGATCCCTCCCTGCGCCCTCCTCCACACCCCCCTTCTGAGGAAGGGTGGCAAAGAGGAACAGTGGAGAGTGAATAGGTGTTGGCTGTGATCTTTACACAACCTGGCAGCCGATCCCACAGCTTGTATTAGCTCCACAAGTCGAACAGATGGAACAAATTGACAGAATCGTGTTCACTCACCCTGGCTGGAGAAGCAGCTGAGTCGTTGTTTGAAGCTGGGAGCTCGAATGCGTGTTTCCCCCTCTGAGTGGGATTTCTGGTTGTATCAGAGAATCCACAGCTTTAGCACCTGACGGCGGCGTGAAATGCCTAATGAGCCTGTGTGGCTTCCTCACCTAGCCAGCCAGCTCTCCCAAGGTCTCTCTCTTCCTTCCTTTCGGAATAGCCATGAGGGAGAAGAAGGGGTCTCTTTTTTATGTAAAGGTAAAACATGTATATTTGTTTCCCAGAAACAAGTATTCCCCTCTTCTGCCTTTTTGAAGCAGTGATTATTAGCAACCTGAAGTTCATCCCTGAAAAATCTAATAATGTCACTTGAACTTGAAATAGAAAACAAGTAGCACACAGAGTGTTTGAGGTTGATGTCAGGTACTTCCTTGTCCTGCTCAGTGTCTTCAGCCCACCCCGTTAGGGCCTGGATCATAATGGTTAAGAATCATAATACATTGTATGCATTTGCCTTTTCTAGGACTTCAGGATGCATTTGACAGTGACTGGGAAACTGGGAAAATCATGCCAAACAATTACAAAAATGGATCAGATGATGGGGTCCTTGCCTACAAACTCCTGGTGCAGACCGGCAGCCGTGATAAACCCATTGACATCAGTCAGGTACTCTCCCTGCCCTACACCCTGGGAGCTCCCAGGGCATGATAGAGCAGAGACTGCTTGACAGCCTGCCCGCCCAGCCTGTGCTCTCTGGAGACTGGGGGCATCAGGGTCTGGTAGAATATTGAGTTGGCTCTAATTCACTTCATCCCATCAGCTGATTGAGTGCCTCAGTCTGCTTCTCTGTCAAATGGGGACATGTGGACCACCTACCTCCACAGCCGTGGTTCCAACCAAGAACCCTCGAGGCAGTGGGCAGTATCTTTCAGATACTAGAAATGCTATGTTGTACTGTTCTCTTTTGAATTCTAGCACTCATTACCATGTTGGTCTTGCTTCTATTCAAACTTGGAAGAATGGTAACAGTCATTTGAATGAGCAGAATTTAAGGTGGATGGATGAGCTAGGAGATCAGAGAGGTTTCTAGAAGGATGGGAGGATTGGTTGCATTCGATTCCTTGGGGTCACCCTGGCCCAGCAGGTGGAGAAGGAGGACAGACAGACGGCTGTGTCATGAGTGAGACAAACAGAAATGCCAGTCCTTGGAACCTGAGTGCACTCGCCATCCTGCTCACTCCCCTGGGTAATAAGAGCTGTTTCTATTCAGTAATCATATTCTCCAACTGCATTTGCATCTTCTCTGTGATGCTCGGATTCCAGCACATCCCTTTTGATTCCTCAGGCATGTTGGGGAGTGTGTTTGGACCCTTCAGACTTCAAACGAGGCCAACACCACTCCCAGCCCTCCCAGATCCCGCTCCCTCTGCCCCTCGCAGCTTACTTGCTTCCCCCTCAGGCAGAAAACCGTCATGCTAATGATCTTCCCAGCAGCTCTGTTTATTGTCTCCCTTTTTTTGCTGGCGTTAAAGGTGACAGATTTACAAAGTACATTGTTCAGAGTTATTATGGAGTGTGAACTTGGTGCTTTATGGCCGCATGCGGCACGGCACGCTGTCAGGTTTGACAAGGATATGGGCAGAGGAACCTGTGGGAGAGATAGCAGGGGGATGCCCGGCGGCTGGGCCGGGCCTTCAGGACCAGGGACACTGTGGAGCGAAGGGGATTGGGCCAGGCTCTTGGATAGCGCTTCCTCTGCCCGGGAGGGAGAAAAGCATGCTGCGTGCACGGAGACCATGAGCTGTGCTCTGTAATTCCAGAGACGGCTTGAAGACATGCAGTTGTTACATATCCTGGGGATTAATTGAATCCAGACCCCTGAAGTTTCGTTTTGTCGCTCGACTCTTTCTTCCTTCACTCTTTCTCTATTAACTGCTGTCACTGGTGTTTTTCATTTTGTTAAGAAGGCCAAAAGCATTGGAGTCAAGCCTGAATCTAAAGTAAACAGGAAAAATATATTTGTGTGTGTGAGTGTGTGTGGATGTGTGTGTATGTCTCTCTCACGGTGTTTGCACCTAAGCAGAGCCCCCAGGACCTCCTTTAGAGAGAGGGAGTGTAGTATTCCGTGGCCTAGGATGGGGCTTGCTCAGTGGGACCAGCTCTCTCAGAAATCGGGGTACCCAGAAAGACCATGGTTGTGCACCAACCCCTTCCACTCTCAGGCAATGGGCATTTTGTGAATACACAGGTCATAGGAGGCTAGTGTTAGCAAAATTTATACAGATGTTGTTTTATTTTTATAGCTCTCCTCCATTTACTGGGTGGCATTTCCTTCAGTGTTAACAGCAGAGGTTAACTGCACACAGACGTGTATGGGGATTCTTGCCAGGTTTCCCCCCCCCCTTCCCCTCCTATAAATATGTTTCTCCAGATTGTTCATTCTCTGCCTTGGCTGCAGACAGTCTTTTAGCATTCAGATTTAATTGGTTCAGTCAATTCCTGGACCATCTGCAGAACTGTGTGTGTGTTATAAACACGCCCATTATTGCATCCTCTGATAAGTGCATTTTGAAAGAAACCAAAGGTGTTCTGACAGGATTTTCTTATATGTTCAAAGAGGGGGCATTCTCGGCTTTGTTGCAAGTGCTGGTGCAGCGCTCAGCTTCTTTTCCTCCCTCCAGACAGCCCCATTCCCCCGCCCATGCCAGCCCCATTTTGAAAGACCCCTCTTCTTCCCATTTTGCAGTTGACCAAACGGCGCCTGGTGGACGCGGATGGCATCATCAATCCCAGCGCATTCTACATCTACCTGACTGCTTGGGTCAGCAATGACCCTGTGGCTTACGCCGCCTCCCAGGCCAACATCCGGCCTCACCGTCCTGAGTGGGTGCACGACAAAGCCGACTACATGCCAGAAACCAGGCTTAGAAGTAAGTAGTCCTCCACAGGGACCCGCCGCGCAGGGCCTCACCCTGTTCTCCCAAGCTCAGCCATGGCCCTCGTCTGCTGACACTTACCCAGGGTTCAGAAGTGTAAACAGAACAATATATTTCTTTGAGTTTAAAACTCTGGGAGACAGATGAGGATGTGTAATGGATACAACCGTGCTCTATCACGTTGGGAAATGAGAGTCCCTAATCTCCATTTGTAGCTTTCACCCTAGGACGCCCACCAGGCAGCTCTCTTTCACACCAGCTGTTCCATGTGAAAGCTGGGGACGCCTCCAGGTTGAGTGTTATTTTACTATTGCAGAGTTTTATCGCTGGGGATTATATGTTTATCTTAACTTTGTCAACTCTGGTGTTGAAGGAATTTTTGGCAAGTTGGGTCATTCCTATAAGCCACCAAGCACCTGTACTCTGTCAAAGCTGTTTAAACCGGAGCAGGGTAGTCTGTATACAGCAGCGTCCTCTCCTTTCCCCTCCCAGCCCTGACTTTGAAAGGTGGTCCTGTATGGATTTAATTTGCACTGATGTTCGAGATACTAGTAGCTTCCACCTTGGATAGGAGGCCGAGGGAGGACGTGACAAAGAAGACGGGTCCCTTTGCAAACATGGCCGGAGAGGAAGCGGGTTGTGCTTCTCTGTATCTAAACCCCAGAGCCTTGTGGCAAGCAGCCAAGGCTTGTCTTAATGAAAATTTATAGTTGAGATTATAATAGGGCAAATCATGTTTAGCAAGTCAACTGAATGACCCCAAAGGGTCTGGAACACACAACGGCAGTAACTAAATGCTTGTTGTGTAAGGATTTCTTCCCCTGCTGCTGAAGACTTAGCATTGCATTAAAAAAGAAGCATGGAAGGTTTAAGTGTGTTAGATCACTAAAAGGATAAGAAAGTTAAGCGTTTTTCTCAGGAAAGCATGACTTTCGAGTTATTTTGTTCTCATAAGGGACTGAGTACAACAGTTTGAACTTCGTATTTTCCCTTGTGTCAGTCAAACAAAAAATGCTCCTGCCATTGAATTCTTGTTTAGACACATCACAAAAGTGACTGCTTCCAGAAGATTAAAATCAAAGGTTAAATAAATACCCAGGCCCCAGGCTCCTCCCCTCCCCCCACCAGAAAAAAAAAATAGAATGTTGATTATTGCTTAAAGCTCTCTTAAACCAGAGATTAAGACTGTAAAGTCCCCAAGACCGTCCCCGGTACTGTTTGTGCTTCACATTGAAAGAAGCCCAGTCAGGGGACCTGGTGGCGGAGTCCCTTCTCTGTTCATTGTGACCAGTGGCGGAGCATGCGGGGTGTGCATCCAGGAGGGCCGACCCTGGGGCGTGCGGTGGCTCCCCCGAACCGGGTCACGCCCGTTCGCCCTCTGTCCTGTTGCCCCGAGCCTTCAGCCATGGCCTCTTCCCACTGTCTCCCTGTCCAGTCCCGGCAGCGGAGCCCATCGAATACGCTCAGTTCCCTTTCTACCTCAACGGCTTGCGGGACACCTCAGACTTCGTGGAAGCCATCGAAAAGGTCAGAACCATCTGCAACAACTACACGAGCCTGGGGCTCTCCAGCTACCCCAACGGCTACCCCTTCCTCTTCTGGGAGCAGTACATCGGCCTCCGGCACTGGCTCCTGCTGTCCATCAGCGTGGTGCTGGCCTGCACGTTCCTGGTGTGTGCCGTCTTCCTCCTGAACCCCTGGACGGCCGGGATCATTGTGAGTTCATTTGCAGGGCTTTTGTGGAAGTCAGATTCCTTTCGGCCCAGCTCTTGCTGCAGCCGGGAAGCTGTGTTTATGTCTGGGCCTCTGGAGGAGGGTATAGATTGCATCATCCTTTGCTATATTTATTCTGCTGGAGGTGGCGAGGTTCATGGTTAGGTAGAGCCTTTAATGGCCTTCATCTTGTGTCCCTTCTCCTACAGCTTTCAACTTTCTGTGTAAAGACAGGGAAGTTTTAAAACACTCTCTATAACCGCTCCTAGCATTTATTAAACGTGAAAACGCTGAGCATTTATTAAATACAAATGTAACTAATTTTTTTTTTTTTTTTACTTAAAGGGTCCTTTTGTGACTACATCCCTGACCTAACATAGGAAAGATTCTTCTAGAAAAGGGAGGGGGAGGTAAATAGAGAAGTTAGGGCAGTGGTCTATGGGTAAAATGGTTTCCGAGATGGTTGTGTGTGTTGTGTGTGTTTTAAAGTTTGAAGGATGTTGATGAACTGGTATTACTAGCCGATTTTTTGGCATCCTTTTTCCAAGTATAATACTCTCAGATCTGAAGTAAGTTTCACGTAGAGTCTAATAAAATCATGGCAGTGTTTAAATTCCACAAACTGTGGTACAGCCTTCAAAATGACAAAATTATAAAAACAGAGACCAGGTCTCATTTCTGCACCATACGTCTGTGCAGCAGGTATGTTAAAAGGTAAATGTTTAGTCTGTAGGGGTTTTCATGGTGCTTAAGCAATTGATGTTGTCCATCTTTCATTAGCTTCTTAACAGAAAGCACAGGGAACTGTTACTGGGCTCGTCCTTCCCTTGCCACCGCCGTCCACAGCCCCACCCCCGACCAGGAAAGAGCATTCATTCACTCCTTCTCTTCCATCTGTGGGAAGTTTATTGTTTCATTTGTGTTTTCTCCCCTTTGGCCCAAGAAACTCCAAAGTCTACCTCGCAGATTTCCTTTGCATCTCTGCGCAAATGTTTACAAGGCAGACGGAAGGCAAAGAAGAGCTTTTCCTTGGATTTAGCTGTCTGCTGTGTCCACCCGCCTTGCTCCTCGCTTCTTCAAAGTGAAGGCGCCTGTAACCTGACCCGTGTCAGCTGACCAGAAGTCCCCTTTCTCCCTCGTCATCCTCTCTTAACCCATGGGCTCTCCGAACAAAAGCAAAGCTGCCTTTACCTAAAAGAAAGAACTTTTATTCTCCCGTCCTAGCTGCTTTCTTTAGGGTGGAGGGTGGGGCAACCAAAAACTCTTCAAATTTCAATTCTGTTGTAAATTGGACAGTTTCTGATGATTAAAATCAGAACAGAAGGAAATAACCTTGTTTTAAACTACATTAAATTTGTAGCTAGTTACCAGTCCATGTTTGTGTAATTCCTAGATGACTCAAATGGAATAGTTGTGAAATTTTTTTTCCTTTTGTTTTTTTGCTTTCTGGAGCAGATATGTTGGAAAAACAGCTTTCAGTAGTAATACTGAGCTTTGCCTTTCTGTACTCCTCAAACAGGCTGCTGGCCCAAAACAGCTATCCCCAAATTGTCCCAAAGTCTCCCTTCTCAGCAGCGACAACGGTGAATTAGAAAGTAAAGACAGGTGTCCAGAGTGAAAGCAAGTCAGCGTTTTCATTACATTTGGGTCCCTGGTGTTTTCTCTGCTCTTGATCTGGAGTGAGCCCCTCCCCTGTTGTCAGCACCCAGAGTGTTTGTGCCCATCCACTCATCCCGTGCATCTTCTTAAAGGTGACGGTCCTGGCTTTGATGACGGTCGAGCTCTTTGGCATGATGGGCCTCATTGGAATCAAGCTGAGTGCCGTGCCCGTGGTCATCTTGATCGCTTCCGTCGGCATAGGAGTGGAGTTCACCGTTCATGTTGCTCTGGTATGGGAGACCTCTCTATTGAGAACTTAATGGAAAGGCAACATGTTTACTTTCGCTTTGGTTGTCTCCAGGTTGGGGACCTTTTGGGTTTTCTCCAACATCAAGGAACACACATACAACGTGTCATAGTGAAGAGGCTTCAGAGCACAGGCATTCCTGCATGAGGAGTGGCTGAAATTTAGGTGGGCTCCTTCCCTCTTGGGCAGTCTAAGGAGAAGGGCATTGGAGGTGAAAGTTCACTGGGCAGGTCAGCAGGGGGCCAGGAAGGATTCTGCTTATTTGATGTCGTTAGAGTCATGAGAGGTGTGTAAGTTGTCAACTTTGTTCCTGAGTTAGATGGTGTGAGTGTGTGTGATTGCACATGAAAGCACCCAATTTTTAAAATCACAGTTACAAAGCGGAGATAAAGTGAGACCACACAGGCATGGCGGGACAGCCTGACTGAGGGGGAGGCAGGCCCGAGGAATTGGTTCTCCCACCTGAGCCCACCCAGCTCCTTCAACCTCCCTGCCTCCAAATTTGAGAGAGAGAGGAACATAAGAGAACCAGGGTTGCTCTCAACAGGATTTCCACCCCCTCCTCTCTCTATGTCCAGTCCCGTGAACGGTTTGTTGGAGGAAGTTAAACATCAGGAGGAGACTTTAAACCAAGAGACAAAAACCCATTGTGTACATGTATCAGAAAATTATTCAGAAGCCTCCTAGCAGTGTGTGGTTTATGTTCTGTCCACACTCATGCTTCTAGCCTAAGTCCTTGGGGTGATTGGTAGCCACTCCATAAATATGTATTGACTGCAGAAATGCTGATGTGTGGAATGCCTTGGATAGGAAACCTAGCACTGAGCCTGGGTCACGTTACTCTTAGTCTTGCTTTTGCGGTCACTAGCGTTGATTTTCCTGGGGCTCAACACATGGCATGAGCGTGTCCGCACATGTGCGTATCTACACGTTGGCTCTGTCTTGTGCCTTCTTAGTTTCTCCACAGGGAGTCTTTCAGGGGCCTTGACATGCAGTTTAGAGTCTATAAACTGTGTTTCAGAAAGAATGTTTCGTTGAGGTTGTGCCATTTTCAACAAAAAGCTGATAATACAGAAGCAATATTCTCTAAATTTCAAGCCTCTCCAAATTCTTTTCCTCCATTGAGCTGGGAGGAGGGAGAGGGGATTTTTTTAAAAAGAAGAGCCCACCAGCCTAGAGCTTAGAACATAAATAATGCTTAATATCATTTCTTCAAAAAGGAGAAAACTTTACGTGAGAGTGAAGAATCCACCCATTTTATTCTGATGCGAATGAAAACTGCGGTTTTTTTTGGTTTTTTTGGGGGTTTTTTTGGTAGCCAGCATAGCAAACAAGAGTGTTCTAGAACAGGTTTTTACAGTGGAAATGAAAACTACAGCCTGTCGTGGCAGTCTGGGCCTTACATGTGAGGTAGTGTGAACATAAATGCACACACCAGTGCTGGATAAACAATTAAGGAATGCTTCCACCGCTCATGCTAGATGTAATTCCAAGAATTTAAGGAGGCTCAAGAGCCAGCTTGGCTTTGTGAGCCATCACCCTTGCTCGATGCTTGTAGCCCCCATCTGCATCACGAGACCATCCACACGCAGGTATGGTGTTCTTAGCTGGTCCTATATGTGAAGGTCTATTTAAAGCAGGCAGGTACTGCTCTTTCGAGGTTTGTAAAATGATGGAATAAGGTTTGTGAGGAGCACTCTTCAAGGAATCAGTGGGTTCCTATCAGTTCACTGTTCCCACAATGTAAGTTGGGTGTGAGATGATAAAACCCTACTTGACCCTTGCAGCCTTGTGGCCCAAGTATGGCACAAAGTAACATGGTTCCAGACTGTCTTGGTGCTTTCCTCCCAAGACAAAAAGGCAATTCTGTTGATCCTAAAGCCTTCCCCACTCTGGAAAAGCATGTGCATTCTAGAGCGTATGCACTTTAGTGAAAAGTACGGAAACTCATAGCACATTTTTATATACTTTTCTTTCTTCATCTGTTCAGGAGAACAACCTTAGTATTCTTCCACAAGCTATGCAAGGCATGGGAGTGCACCCAATGTGTGGTAGGCCTTGATTTTTAAGGAGCTATGGTCTGCAGAGTTCCTGAACCTTCTCAGCATATCCCAGAGCAGCCTGTAGCTTTCAGGCAGAGAAAGGACTTGTACCAAACTCCTGTTGGGGTCCCATCGAAGGCCAGGCAGGGTATGACAGGAACTGAATCCCATTAAAATGGTCCTGGGTCACCCCATCAAGCCAACAGTCCGATATGCTGGGACTTACTCTATATAAGTTGCCATTGGTATCAGTAGTATTCTTGACCTAGCGGAGCTTTAGGAAGTGAAGGAGCGGGGGGGATATGACCACACTGAGTTAGAACAGGCTCGATTTGAATTTCGAGTCCTGTATTTTTCTTGTGATCCTTCGGTGGTGCTTAGATGTACTACAAACACATAAGTTTGAACCCGGCAATGGAAATTCTGCATCATCATGAGGAAATAGGTACTTGGCACCCAGTTGCACGCAACCCTCAACTAAGCCCACCTAGAAGTGAGATCTTGACCTTCCCCCAAATCGGGAAGGATGCTGTCATCTTCACACTGTGGGCCTCCCATGTGAAAGCCGTGAGGTCATGTGGGTTGGGGAGGAAACCCGAGGGGGGGCAGCAGCCAAAAGAAGAGGACATTTTGCTCACGTTTGTATAGTTTTGGTTTGGTTTTTAATTTAAAGTAAATATGCTTTCTGTCTTTTTTTGTCGCTCAAGATTTATATCAACACCAAACATGACACAGTATCATGAACAGGCCATTTTAGCATAAGCCTAGAGTTAGGTACTTGAGCAACCCCAATTAAATATTGCAGGAGCTAGAAAGGAAGATGCGAGAAGGTCTGTACAGACCGAGTAAGAAAGCTGGTGGCATGTTGGACAGAGCTGCCCAGGGGCTTCCGTCCGGGAATGGGCTCATCCCGCCTCTTCTCGTTGCGCAGGCCTTCCTAACGGCCATTGGCGATAAGAACCGCAGGGCCGCGCTCGCCCTGGAGCACATATTTGCACCCGTCCTGGACGGCGCCGTTTCCACTCTGCTGGGAGTGCTGATGCTCGCAGGGTCTGAGTTTGATTTCATTGTCAGGTAAGCAGGAGGGGAGACGGTTCTTAATTTCTAGCAATCACTATCACCCTTATGATCTCCGTTGCGGATTTCCTTCTGTATCCTGTGGAGAGCAGCATGTCTTCATTGTGACTCTACTCTTTGTCCCCCAGATTTATTGAGGTGTAACTGACAAATAAAAATCATATATTTTTTAAGGTATACAACATGATGTTTTGCTATACTAGTACATTGTAAAATGATCACCACAGTCCGTGACTCCTCTTCTGTTGAGTTTCTTAACTCAGAGACCTGCCGAGAGGTAGAAGGACAAGCTCTCTTCCAGAGCCGTCTTAGGGAACATCTTGGGGAGGAGAGTGGAGAGTGTGACTAGCAGCACAGAGTTCCACAGCGTGAAACCAGGGGACCACCCAGTACCCCCGTTCTGACCTTGGTTCCCCCTCACTGACTTTGACCTTCACCTCTCTTTCAAATCGATAGAAAAAGAAAACTTAGAAATACCTAAAATTGTCACCTACATTTTGTTCCTCTAAGAAGCAAAGGTAGCATGCCCAGACTTCACATTCAAGTTCTTAGTAAGATTTAGGGAGCAGTAAATGTGTGACTTTGGTGTCAAATGTTGGAAATCCAGACCTAGTTTGGATACTTATTTTTGGATCCCCTGGCAAGCAGTTTCTCGTGGATTTATGAAGAATATGAGTGTGTGACATAGAAAAGGAGAGCGAGTTTGCCTTCTGAAAAGAATTTGCACACTGCAGGGAAAGACCATTTTCTGCTCCGAACGGCCCCCACAGCTTCGGGAAGTAGCTGCTCTTGGATGTAACACTGCTGCTCCATGGAAGGGCAAGGCCAGAACCATCCGTAAGCGAAAGATAGTCCAGAATTAGAACCGTGGTAAAGCAGAACTGAATGTGAGGCATGACTGCCCGGCTTGGGATGCTTCAGGAATCTGGAGAGAGAATCTAAACAGGCTTTCTCACTGTGTGGGCTTGTGATAGGTCTTGCATTTTCAAGTGAAAAGAAGAGGGTTTTGAGTTTCAGTCCAAGTTTCCTTATTGCAGAAAAAAGATCAGGCCATTGGTCTGTGGCCTACCCCACTAGCCAGCTGGGCAGCAGAGATTAAGCCTTCTTCGAAGGAGGGCCAGCATTCCCTCGGTGTAGTTAGTGTGGGCTAACGGAGAGGTGGGGTGGCGATCACAGTGTGGACCAGAACTTCTCAGACCATACTGTGCTTATGAATCATCCGAGGCTCTGCAGATGCAGCTCAGATTTCGTTGGGGGCAGGGAGGGTGTGGAGCAGAGTTTGCATTTCCAGCCAGCTCCCAGGTGATACCCGTGCTGCTGGTCTTCTCAACACAACACTGTTAATCAGCTAACAAGCCAATTAGTACATTCTTGTTTGCCAATACCAGGTAGATGTATGCCTAAATTAGATCTAGCTTTTGGCCGGAGTTTTATTTTCAGCTCTTAACTTGACTTTGGCTTTTCCTTTATTTCCTTAGCATACGCATATTCGGGCATTAGTAGATGTTTCTTTATGGCCTAAAACCCCTGTGTCAAGGAGAGTCTCTTTTGCATGATTTCTCCCTCGACCCAATGTAACAAGCACCTCGTAAGTGTCATGGTACACAGCAGCAAGTTACGTGGACCCCGTCCCCCTCCGTGTGGCTTACAATCTGGTGGGGAGAGGGAGTTCACAGGCAGTTCAGAAGCATGGGAAAGGCTGGACGTGATGCGATCTCAGAGGATCTCACTCAGCCTCGTGGGGAAGCTGAGTGAGCCCCTGAGGGGGATCTTTGCCAGAAGTGGAGCAACCAGCTGGGAACCAGAATGGAGCGCAGAATCCCAGCTCTCATCGAACCCGTGGCTTCCTGTTCTCTCCCAGAGATACCAGGGTTCTTGTTTCAAGCACTTAAAAGGGCTTCCCATTTTCTAGAACTGGATGGATTAACCTGATAAAGCCCTCACTGAGGTCAACTAAATGAGCAGACATTGTATACGCTAAGCCGTCAGAAATCTAATTGGTCTGTTTATGCTACAGTTAGATGGATGGGATGCAAATGTCTTAATGCTGCTGCTGATATATGCTTCAGCCTCAAGTTCCTGCAGTTTACATTAGAGCAAGACATCGGCGGCTTGCTTTTTACTAAGGCAGCTCAGAAGTTTCTAGTGTTTACAATAGCTGCGAGGTATTTGTATTTTTATAGGGATTCTCGCTCCTTTCATCTAATGTCGAAACATATATAGTCATGGTGAAGTTGGGTGCCTGTTCTGTTTTATGATCAAGAGGACCATTAACAGATAGATATCTTGCCCTCCCTCTTCCCAGAACATCCTGAGCTCTCCGCCACCTCAGCCTCCTTCCAGCAAAATTGCCCTAGATATTGTTAGTTCCAGAAAACGTACACTTGCGTGGAGCCCGCTCCCTGCAGCTGTGGGGAGCATCGGCCAGCCACTCGGCCGAGCTGACAGGTTTACCTTGGTATTCATGAAGGATCCCAGACCTTAGCCCTCAATGGTGGGAAAGCAGGGCCACTTGCGCACTCTCCTCTTCTTCATGGTGCTGCGGCCTTTATGTTTGAATTGGCTGACGCAAAACAAGAGTATTCAGAGATGCTAAATTGTCCAACAAAAGATTGGCCCGCAGAGCAGCCCCCTCATTGTGGGCCGCCCTCCCCCGCAAATGCCCCAGCAACCACAGAATGGGCAGCGTTTTCTTTGCAGAAAGCTGGTTCTTGTGTTCTAAAAAGGTTGCAATTGGAGCCGTTTGGTAAAACTGGAACTCACAGAATTCTAGGCAGAAAGTTGTGATTAATGAAAGCCCAGGGAAAGCCTTACCTGATCCGCTCGAGACTTAATTAGAGATTCTGCTCTAAGATGCAGAAGCATTTCACAGTGGATTAGCTGCCTGCAGAAGTGGGCTGCTTTTCCTCCTGAGCTAAATTGTTTAAATTCTACACCCTTCACTTCATTTGTTTGCTTCTGCTGGGTTTTCACGGACGGGGCCCCTCTGCATTGTGTTTGTGCTTCCAATCTGCTCAGCCATTCAGCTCACATTCCATATTTTTGTGTTTGTGTAACACATTCATAAATAACATTACATGCCAAGAGATTTCAGCAAATTAACAAACTAATTTTTCTCTCTTCCCTTCACAAACTAACACTTTGGGTTGTGGAATGTAGTCCTCGAGAGTCACAAGGTAAAAAAAAAAAAAAAGAAAGAAAGAAAAAAAAACTAATCTCGTGCTGAATGTGAACCACAGTTTTATAAGAGCCTCTGCGACCGCGTGGGCTTTGTTAATTTTGGGTTTTGACGTGCTGCGTAATATCTGGGCACGTGAAGGCTGGCTTCATTTCCTTTTGCCCCAGTCAATGACGCTGCTTCCCTTCTATCTTCAAGGTATTTCTTTGCTGTCCTGGCAATCCTGACAATCCTGGGTGTTCTCAATGGGCTGGTTTTGCTCCCGGTCCTTCTGTCCTTCTTCGGCCCGTACCCCGAGGTCAGTAATTGCACCGGGTGTCACGTGCACCTCTCAGGCCGCCGGAATGCCGTTTGTCCCAGGGTCCCTGTGAATTTAGATGTTTAGGTAGCTCAACATTACTGTTTACTTTTTCAGTAAACATTTCGATGACTATGGCTTTTTTCTCTTCAGCTTTGGGGGTGTCGTACTGGGTTTGTTTTGGTTTGGTTTTGGTGTCTTAAACCACGTGATTGGCACCCCGAGTCTTACAGTTCTGTATCAGTGAAGCATTTTCCACTCAAGATGAGTATCCGGGCTTGAAGAAAAGTAAAAAGGGCACAGCCTGCCTTTCCGAAGTGTAAAAGCAGAGGGCAGTTCTTGTGCTCCAGCTGCCAGGCCTGATGGGCCTCGAGGTGGCAGAGTGGGGGAGGTGAGCACAGGGGAGTGGGAGAGGCCGGGGCAGTGGGGGGACGGGTACAGAGAGCCCTGAGCAAGACTGTGCTTTGCTTTGCTTTGAGTGTGACCAGCAGGTAAATGGATGAAAACACTTCTGATATGGAATCTCCTTAAATAGGTATCTCCAGCCAACGGGCTGAACCGACTGCCCACCCCTTCCCCCGAGCCACCCCCCAGTGTGGTCCGCTTTGCCGTGCCCCCCGGTCATGCAAACAATGGGTCTGATTCCTCTGACTCGGAGTACAGTTCTCAGACAACGGTGTCAGGCATCAGCGAAGAGCTTCGGCACTACGAGGCCCAGCAGGGCACCGGGGGCCCTGCCCACCAAGTGATCGTGGAAGCCACAGAAAACCCTGTCTTTGCGCGCTCCACTGTAAGTCACCCTAGGGGGGCAGCCCCTGCCTCCTTTGAGCAGCAAATCCCAGACAGAGAGGACTTTAAAGTCGAGATTAGGTCAAATCATATGAAATTGCCAGTATTTGCCTCTTAAACTATAAAAACATCAGTTCCGTGTGGCTGGGTGTCCTATGGGTTGCAAAGGGGCGGGGGCCAGGAACCCTAGCTCTGAGCAGCATCGGCATGTATCTTGTTCGGGCTAAGTACAATCTGAGCTTCAGGGCCAGAGGGAAAGCGTGCCTTGCTGCTGGCCTTTTTTTTTTTTTTTTTTTTTTTAAGCTGCATGTCATTTTAGAGGTTTTTTTTGTTTTGTTTTTTAATGTAGTGGTATTTTTATTGCCAACAGAGTGATTTCTTTTTCCTCCCACTTCTGTTACATTTAAATGCCCTGGTACAAAATGATTTCAGTTATTGATGCCTAAGACTTTACCAGAAGTGGGAAGCTTAGCCTTCAGTGATTCCGGAAAGCCATGAGCAGCCTGGGAGCCCCAGCCATGTCCTGCACTCTCTCTGCTCCCCAGGATGTCCTCAGCCCCGAAGGCCTAGAGCACAGCACACAAAACCCGAGGAAGGTTCTAAGACTCGTGTTGCTCCAACTGAGGGCCTCCTGCTGTCCCTCCAGGAAATGGGTATTCCAGTCCCAGGCCAGAGCAGCCCCTGCATGAAAGAGAGAGGGGCCAACCAAATAACCTAAATTTTCCCCCTCTTACCCCCCGTGGCGCCGCCTGCTGAGCTGCAGTGTGAATCTGGTTTTGTTCAGCGGGGGCCTAAAAATAGGTACAAGCTGAACGACTTTGAAGTTGGTCACGGTCCTTTTGATTGATGTGGCCACTGTGCTGCTCCATGCTTTGTATAGAGACCCAGAAACCAGATTCCTAACAACCAGACGGAGGAGCGCTACTCCACAGAACTTTCCGCGATGATGGAAATGCTCCCTCTGGGCTCGCCCATATAGTAGCCACTGACCACATGTGGCCGTTGAGCCCTTGAAATGTGGCTGGTGCAACGAAGGAACCGAATTTGGCATTTTTCTTCATTTAAGTGTAAATAGCCGTATGTTCCTAGTGTCTACCGTATTCAACAGTGTAGGTGTAGACAGTCCTGCCAACAGGCTGCACTTGGGCAGGCGGCCGGAGCCAGAGGCTTAGGCGTTTTCAAAGAGGAGGAGCTTGCCACCTGACCCTGAAGTGCAGGGTGGGGCGCAAACTGTGGGACGAGGCAGCCCGGGGCCCCTCCCACCACAGCCCTGCCTTTATGGGCCTCAGCCTTATGTGTCCGGTCAGCTGTGCGGGAGAAAGCCTAGGCCCGGGGTCCAAAGAAGGCCTTCCTCTGCCACGCCGTGGAGGTTCTAAAAGAACAGGTTTTTCTTTTGTGGGTGGAAGGCCCCGTTGCCTCCCCGGGGCCTCTCCCAGCCATTTGTGGGGTTGACTGAGCACTCGGTGAAGAGCTGTGTGTGGGTGGCCGGCGGGAGCCCGAGCCAGGAAGGGAAGGCCGGGCGCAGCGGGGGGCGATGCCCCGCCTGGGGTTAGCATCCTCCCGCCTGTTTTAACCTGCCCTCGCCCTCTGCAGGTGGTCCATCCTGAAGCAAGACATCACCCACCCTCAAACCCTCGACAGCAGCCCCCCCTGGACTCAGAGTTCCTGCCTCCCGGACGACCAGGCCAGCAGCCCCGGAGGGAAACCCCCAGGGAAGGCTTGCGGCCACCCCCCTACAGACCGCGCAGAGACGCTTTCGAAATTTCTACTGACGGGCATTCCGGCCCTAGCAATAGGGACCGCGCGGGCCCCCGGGGAGCCCGTTCTAACAACCCTCGACACCCCGCATTCACTGCCATGGGCAGCTCGGCGCCCAGCTACTGCCAGCCCATCACCACTGTGACGGCCTCAGCGTCCGTGACTGTTGCCGTACACCCCCCGCCCGCCCCCGGGCCCGGCTCGGCGCGGAGCCCCCGAGGGGGACTGTGCCCGGGCTACGGGGACTACCCTGAGACTGACCACGGGCTGTTTGAGGACCCCCACGTGCCTTTTAACGTCCGGCGCGAGAGGAGGGACTCCAAGGTGGAAGTCATAGAGCTGCAGGACGTGGAATGTGAGGAGAGGCCCCGGGGCAGCAGCTCCAACTGAGGTGCGTGCGGCAGGTGGGTTGGCCTGGGAATCGCTGCTCCTCAGCCGCAGGGGCCGGACGCGCAGGGGTACCCAGAGCAGAGCTCCCTGGGGCTTCTCAGGCTGCATCCTCCGGGAGTCCCTGGGCGTTGGTGTGGCGCAAACCGAACCCCAGGGGCTTTTTATCTCCAAGGCAAGGACCGCCACGTCCACACCCTGTCATCCTTGGGGAACCGGTCCAGTCCTAAATTGGGTCCCTCCCCTCACTGCCGAGCTGTTGAGCGTTAGTGCAAGTTCACAAGGGCGCTAGCTTTCACCTTTCTATCTTTATAAAGCACCATAACAGGTATGTATGATACACGGCTCCGTGAATGGTCACAGAGTGAACACATCCGTGTCGCCGGCCCTCAGACCAGGGAAGGTTCGCCACCCACCCCGAGAAGCCTCTCGTGCCCTCACCCAGCACCCCCATCCTGATTTCTAATACCATTGATCAGTTTCCTTGATTTTGTTCTTCCTAAATACGGACCCATACACCTGTTGCTTCGTTTGACTTTTTTTTTTTTCTTTTAAAGGGTGAGTAAAATCTGAAGCAAAGAGGCCAAAGATTGGAAGCCCCCCCACCACACCCCCGCCGCCCCCACCCCCGAACTGCTTGAAGAGAACGGCTTAGGGTCCTACAGAAGTGCGCACCGGGAGAGCAGTTCCGCGTTACTGTAACCGATTGTATTATTTTGTGAAATAGTTCTATATATATTTAAGAGGTGTACACATATGTAATATACGAAGGAACGGATGTAAAGTAGTGCGATCTGGGCTTTCTCCACTCCTGCCCCCAGAGTGGGCAGTGGGGAGGCTGCCGTGGCCCCTCCCCCCCATTTGGGCATGGGTCTCTGTGCCACAACCAAGCTTAACGTAGTCTTAAATTTCAGCATATGTTGCTGCTGCTTAAATATTGTATAATTTACCTGTATAATTCTATGCAAATATTGCTTATGTAATAGGATTATTTTGTAAAGGTTTCTGTTTAAAATATTTTAAATTTGCATATCACAACCCTGTGGTAGTATGAAATGTTACTGTTAACTTTCAAACACGCTATGCGTGATAATTTTGTTGTTTAATGAGCAGATATGAAGAAAGTACGTTAACCCCGGTGGCTTCTCCAGGTGTAGTTGGATGTGGTTCTGTTTGGCTGTGTGTGTGTGAACACGTGTGTGGTTTCCCAATGTACTGTACTGTGATTTTATTTTTTTATTTTTTTTTTTTTGTTTCTTTTCACGTTCTTGTAATCCTTAGTGGGCTCTGCCCTCCTTGGGCTGGAAGAGTCAGGATATCTTTATTGCTTGGTGCTGGTGGAAAGCTAGCCCTGAATGTCGCCTTATCCTTTCGCCAGACTCGTTTCAGGTCCAGGGCATCTTTTGCGATCGTTGGCTGCTATCCAGACACTCCCAATTCATGCCTCAGAGGAGACGGGCTCCGTTGCATGGATCGTTGTGGTGGACGTTGGAACCTCAGGGTTTAGAGCTAACATCTGCTCATCTTCATTGGTATTAAAGAGTTATTACAGAACATGCTTAGTGGTGAGCCTCAGCTGGGCCGTGAACGTATACTCTAGAGTATGCAGCCTTCCTTGTACCTCTTGTCTCACACACACACACACACACACACACACACACACGCACCCTCAAAAGCTTAAGGGCAGATTGGAAATCTTTCAGAGACAATGACCCTGCTACGAGTAGAAAAACCTATTGATTCTGGGCCCACAGTAAACCCAGAGGTGATGTTTTGAGTCCCTACAATTTAAACTGCCCCCCTCTTCCTAAATTGCACAGTTGGTTGGGACTTCCTGGATCTGCCTGTATCTTCTTAAAAAATAAATAGTGAGCCTCCAGTTTGGTGATGTGGAGTCAGAAGTTCTGCAGGGTAAAAGCTTCCGAAGGATCCTTCTCAGTATGTGAATAGTAACGTTATGGGCACACACTTCCTAAATAAACTGTGTCCCTCCTCTCGGCCTTATTAGTGTTCTCTCGATGTGACACTGATTGAAGAGCAGGGAGATGTTCATTGCCTACACCCCACTGAAGAACGTGTCTGGAGGCAGATCTCTCAACCAGGCGTTATTTTTAAAGATTTGCTCTGTCTTGCTTGTGTTGTGTGGCTCTGAGGTTTGGTCTTCCTCCGCTCCTAGCCGGGCCTCGGCACGTGTCCGGGAAGCAGTCGGTTCCCAGACTCAGCTACTGTAGGAGCACACGAATGGCAGTGCCCATTGTGCCCTCCTGTTCCCCACAGAAAATCTCGGTCAAAAGGCAATGGGCTCCCAGTAGTACCCAGCAGTATAGTGACCTCAGACCCGAAAACTTGCCACAAAACTGTAAGATACTAATTGGAAGCCCCCTGTGGCCACCAGGTGTGTGTGTTCATGTGCCAGGGGCCCCGGCGGGCCCGCGTCTACTGTTCGGAGCCTCTGTCAGCCACACTGTCTGTCCACCTAACACCTAGCTCTGCTCAGAAAACTTAGGTCCTGCGTTCAAGAGAGAGATGGTGCAAAATTCTGAGGTCTGCTTCCCTCTGGCTCGTGGCATGCCCTCCTCGCTCCTTTCCTGAGCCCAGCTTGTGTGGTGCATGAGATCTCACACGGCCCCACTTTCTGCACGGGGTAGAACTTTCTCCCACAGTCACATTGGCAAAGGGAGAACTCGGGGGCGGGCAGGCAGCCAGAATTTCTCTCTCTCTCTTTTTAAAATAGTTTTATTTTGTCTGTCTTGTTTGTTCATTTGGATGTTTTAATTTTTTTTAAATCTTTGCTGATATTTATAATTTTGTATCATAAGAATGTTTTCCTACAGTATTTGTCATGCCAGTTTATAACAAAAAATGCAGGGATTTTATTTCTATTGGAAACACTATTACAGCTATGTTTTACTTTTGAACAGAATTTTTATTTGTATAGAGTGCTTACTAATGTTAAATAGTTCAGAGTATATAACATGTTCATTAAAGACTCATGGTAGGTGTTAGTGTAAGGAGTTTAAAGGAAATAAATATTCAAACTGGGTCTCATTGTCTGCCAGTTTTGGCAGAAATGGGTTTGTGTCATTTCAATTACAAAGATAAAAGTATGCCATATAATTTATTTATATGAAAATTTATTTTTGTAGTGTACATAGTAGTCATCAAGTCTTTTGACAGAAGTATATTTTTAAAGAATTTATATGTGATGAATCCATAATGTCTGGAACTTTGCTGAGACATGAGTGGGGCACACTTTTCATTGTAAAGTACAGCAAGGAAAAGAAAATGTTTAACAGTGTTAAGAGAGTGAGAGATTGAGTAAATATTCATGCAATTGTGAAATGTGTATTAGTTACCATTTGTGACCTAGTGTGGTTCTCATTTTAAACCTTGGAAGGCAAAAATGTACAAACTCTCTAAATATTAATGTTCAAACACTGATAGAAATTCTAACATGAATAAAAAATAATATAACTTGTTGGTTATGTCTTTGTTCATAGAATTTTTTTAAAAGATTTTATTATTAGAGAGAGAGAGTGTGTGTGTGTGTGCACGCGCGCGCGTGCAAGCGGAAAAGGAGCAGAGGGAGAGGGACAAGCAGACTCCGCGCTGAGCGAGGAGCCCAATGTGGGGCTCGACCCCGAGATCATGACCTAAGTAGAAGGCAAGAGTTGGACCCTTCACTGAGCCACCCAGGCGCCCTTATTCATAGAATGTTTTTGTTTTTGTTTTTTAAGATTTTTATGTATTTGTCAGAGAGAGAGGGGGGTTAAGAGAGAGAGCACAAGCAGGGGGAGCAGCAGACAGAGGGAGAAGCAGGCTCCCCACTGAGCAAGGAGCCTGATGTGGGACTCGATTCCAGGACCCTTGTCATGACCTGAGCTGAAGGCAGATGCTTAACCGCCTGAGCCGCCCGGGCGTCCCCATAGAATGTTTTTTTATTTATAGTGTTTTACAAAGGCAGCATGTTAGGCCACCACAAACTTCGTTGTTTTGTAACATTGCTTAAGAATCCTTTCTTGTTCTACCTCACGAAAGCATTCTTGACATAAAACTCTAGGTTATTTTCTTTTTTTTTTTTTTAAGATTTTATTTATTTATTCATGAGAGACAGAGAGAGAGAGATAGAGAGAGGCAGAGGGAGAAGCAGGCTCCCAAGGAGCAGGGAGCCTGATGTGGGACTCGATCCCAGGACCCTGGGATCATGACCTGAGCCGAAGGCAGACACTTAACCATCTGAGCCACCCAGGCGCCCTAGGTTATTTTCTGACACCAAGAAAGTTCCTAAATACCATTCAAGATGATCCCCTCTGTCATCTCTTAACATTCTTATCTTTTTTATGTGATGCCTAATAACTAGAGGGAACATTGATCAAGACAAATATGATTATTAAAATAAATGAAGGTAGGACGATATGGGACTAGTTGAACCTGATACAGAATGGCTTTTTCTGAGTGTTTATGATATGATTTTATCTCATCTTCTTCATAGTCATGGAGAAAAATAAGACCAGGAATATCCTACCCACTGGAAAGCAAGGAGTGGCGGGGAAGAACTCGAGACCCAAACTGTCACAAACACCTGGTGAGGGGTCAGCAAACTGCAGTCCCGCGGGCCTCCCGTTCTCATCAAGATTTCTCAGAAGACAGACGCACACATTGACATACAGATAGTCTGGCCGCTTTCCAGCTAGAGGGGCAAAGTTGAATAGTTGTGACCCAGTGTACAGCCTACGGAGCCTAAGATGATTTACTAACTGCGTTCGCCCACCCATTTTAAGATAGGGTTATCCTGGTTCAGTGATACTCGGGTGGGGTTCATGGACCGGCAGCATTGGCGCGCCTCAGAAGCTTTCCAGAAAAGCAGAATCTTCAGGGCCACCCCAGACCTACGGAGTCAGAATGCAGGGAGTGAGGCCCAGGAATCCATGCGTTAACCAGCTGGTTGGTTCTGGTGGTTCGGATGCACCAGCAGAGGTGATCCCTAAACCCCTTCTGGCTGCATGTGGCCATGGGTCTCTCTAATTTGACTCCGGCTACATGGCCAGCGCAAGCCAGATCTGAAAACAACGGAGAGACGCCGGCTCCTCTGTGCTTGTCTTTCCACAAAAACACATGTTCATGGGAAAAAGCGGAGACCTGCCAACTGCATTTGTGTCTGGGAGTCCAGAGAGAGGAGTTCCTTTTCAGTGTTCTGCCATCGCTGTGGGGCAGGATCCCAGTGGAGGGTGTGGGCTCCTGACCTCACGGGCAGGGGAGGAAGGCCGCTCCAGGCCAGACCCCTGTCTGCCCTTGCTGCTGAGAGGGTTGCAGGTGACCCGCTCTGACTTGGGCAAGTCACTTGAAACCTTGGAGCCTCCGTATCCTCATCTGTGTATAAACTAAAGAGAATGCATGTCCTTTGCAGACTTCTGAAGGTCGAAAGCAGTGATGGTTGTGATGAGGTCTGGCCCAGAGGGAACCTCTGTGGATCCCACGCTGAATAAGCCACTTGGGTAATACAATGTCCTCCTTAATGGATGCTTCATCAAAAAACAATAGTCAAAAGTGTTAAGCAGGGTTTCCTGTCTTATAACCTCATCCTCCTCTCTCCTGGTCTAATCAACGGTCTGTTCCTAAAGCCCTTCGGTGGTGAACTTAATACATAAGGCTCACATGGTCATGGGGAGTAGGTACTCCCTGAAACTGAGCATGGAAAATATTAATTGCATTAATTGGAATTCAAATTGAGAGACGCTTTCTTTTAGACGTGTTTTATAACACCAAAATGACCATTCATTGCCATCCAATTTTATATTCTGTATAAATTACATATACCTGACTAAGTAAGCTAATTTCGTTTTTCATGTCGGCCTGGGGAGAAGTTTTTAATCAGATTTGTGTCCCAAAATCCACCATATTTATTCAGGACTTAGGTAAACATAAGGCCCCATTATTTTTGGCACGATGGGCACATTTAACAGCTTTGGGAATGTCGCATGCTGCTAAATTTCGGGCGGTAGCCACGTTGATGTAAAGGCAGGTGTTTCATTTTTGGTAACTGGCAACTGACCTCCCAAAAGGAGAAGTGGAGATGGCCTATTAATCATCCAAAAAGAATATGTGCCAAGTTTTAATTACTTTTAATGAAGGTTGCACCTAATGAGAATACGCCTCGAACACAAATCTGCTTCATCGTTTACATTGTCATGATGGACAGTGTGTTGGACACCATTTTCTGCGAAGGTTCCCTGCCAGGAAATGACAACTGCCATTTTAGGGATCTTGAAGGGACGTTCTGATCTGTTAGGAACACGGTGGACCTCAGGAAAACAGACGGACCCAGGGCTCTCTGTTACCTAAAGAAGTGAGCAGTAGAGAGGACCCAAATCAAGGCTGGTCTGGCCAAAGCAGGTGCGGTGTTCTACATTGCAGGGTGTTTTTGTTATTGCTGATTCTCACCTACCCTTTAGGAATTCCCTTTCTTGGGGCAAAGAGAATGGGCCTTTCAATGGGGAGAGGGAGCCTTTGCCCTGACAAAGAGACACACTCCAGTGAGCCGTGTCACTGGAAGAGGCAAGCACAGCAGCATCTTTCTCAGAATCGATTGAACCCCTTTACATTCCTCTTTCCTGGAGCGTGTTCTCTTCATTCATCTGCTTCCGAGCCACAGGACGGAGGACCGA